GACGTACATAATAAAAACAAGTTCATTTGGAAACTCGGTAGTCAGAATTAGACCCAGACGTAACGAGGAGAGAAGTTTACATCTTGTAATTGAAGATCAAATCTTGTATCTGGCCTATCTGATCCATATCGACTCATGGCTTCAGCATAGGTAAGCCTCGGGAAAGGATTTGGCAGCTGAACACCTTTGACTTCCCAAAAAACCTACAAGTATAATTTTTCTTTACCTTCAGTAGCCAAAAGATAGCAAGGCAAATTATGCCTACAACAAAAGTGAAACTTTCAGGCATCAGACCTTCAGAATACCCATCGGTTCATCCTCCTCTTGATTGGAGTTACTACCTCTTATTGAAATAATTTAATAAAAATAACCTGAACCCTGATGCAGTGATGCCTCAAGGATCAATCAGAGCTGTCAACAGAGTTGACTAATCGGTGACAAAATTGGATCCCTCCAACATCTAAATCACATAAATTCAATGACCTTCAAGACTTGGTTTTACCGAAATCACAAAACCATGCAACGATGCACATAAACCTTAAATGGGTGCCAACAAAAACGTGTCAAAATAATGATGGTGTGAGCAAAAGTTTGTGGCAATTATCTTTGCTTCTTTAAAAGTATTTTTATAGACAGCCTATAATAATGAATACACGCTTATTCTGACATCCCATCATCAAGTTAATTCTAATAATCGGAGGGAAATTACCTTTCTAATCAATTCTTCATTGAGCCTAAGCATGTCTTCCAATGTTGTAAATGCTAATTCCATATCAAGTTGTGTAAACTCAGGTTGTCTGTCAGCTCTAAGGTCTTCATCTCGGAAACACCTGCAAAGAAAGCCACATTAAACTGAAGGTACAGTAGGATTTCTGTAACATACTTAAAACAACCACTTGATTCTCACAACTCAGAAAGGAAAAACAGACTGAACTCAGCTCTCCATTTTCATAGAAGAAAGAAACTATTTATCGAGTTAGATCTACCAATACAATTCTTTATATGCCATTTACGTTGTGAAGAAAAGATAATGCATAAACACCAAATGAATTTACAAGGAAAAGGCATAAATTCGAGAGAAGACCAGAAGCAAGTCATATGATCAGGATAATAAACTCATGAACATGATGGAAATCATGCTTAATGATATAATAGTTAGTACCTTGCTATTTGATAGTATTTATCAAAACCAGACACCATCAACATTTGCTTAAACAACTGTGGGCTTTGAGGCAAAGCATAAAATGTTCCTGGCTTCAAAATACACATTTAAACTGAATCAGACCTGCAAGCCATTGAAAAACGCATTCCATATAATAAACAAATGTAAATAAAACACAATTTTATTTGTTGGAAATGGAAATCACAATTATGTTATATTTAATTGCAGGAAAAGACAATTATGTTGCACGCAAACTTCATCACCACATAAAACATCAATCGAAGAGGCATACATTTCAGTAACACCAGAACTTCAAAAACCTGCACCTAAGCATACATAATTTAACTACTACCTTAACACCTTAACAATCAGTTAAGTTTAGACTTTTGCGCAAGATATCTTTAAATGTAATGAAAAGTTAGGTTCTATAAGATGTTATCACTTACCTGTCGATATAAATTAGCGAGACATACCAAATATCCAATTAAAGGAGTGATCAAGAATAGAGCTAGAAACGGAAAATGGCATCACATTCAGATTTCTCAAGAGAATTGTATCAAGTTTTCAGAAGGAAAAAAAACTAGTTAACAAAATAACCTGAGAAAGAATCATGGATAAGAAGCTGAGTCTATGAAGGTTACCTGAACTCTAGAGGGCACCAGATAATCCCGAGCACCTTCGGGAGTAGATCTAGAAAGTATTGGCGTCTCAATCTACCTTATAACCATCAAGAGGTCAGAATTGAGGTAAGGCTAGAACAAATTCAAAATCAAACCATTTATTTAGTATAAATAATGTGAAGTTCTAATGCAGACGATTCAATAAAATCTCCAAAAAGGCAAACAATCAGTTAGAAGTCGTAAACAGGAAAGTACCTCCACAAAACCATGTACATCCTCCAAATATCTTCGAAGGAGCTTCACCACTTTATGCCGAAGCATTATGTTAAAATTCATTTGCTTCCTCCGCAGATCAAGGTACCGGTACCTATTAATGCTCAAACTCCTTTGAATCTAGAATTCAATAATGTGGGTTTATAGAAAATAAAAATATGTGATACCTCAGTCGAATTTCCTCTTTAGCAGAATCCTTTGTGTCCTCAGCAGTTGTAACTAAAAAGGGCAACTTCGATCCAACAGAATTTAAGATTTGAACATGCTCTGCAGCAACCTAGAATATATCATGAAATTAATACACCATAAGCATAGTGCAATAAGCTAGAAAACCTTTTCAACCTAGTGTCCAGCTACATGAACAGTAAAATGAAATCCTTACATACCTCTATCAAGCCAGTTTTCATTTTCGCATTAATCGAATTGCCAGGCCGAGAACGTACAACTCCTTCTACAGCAACAACATACTCAAGCCTCAAGTCGTTAACGGCCGAATGAGCGTCTGGAAACTCGTTGGGGAGCGTAGTAACCTAATTTGAGCGGCAAAAAATAACTTTCAACAACAAGTCCTCTTCAATTTCAAGTCAATCCCGATAATTCAAACGAAAAGGAACCAAAAAAAAACATAAAAATAAGCACCTGAACAATACCACTGTGGTCTCTAAGATTGAGGAACGTCAGACCACCATGAACCCTGTGCAAGGCAACCCAACCACACAGCCGAACCCGCTTACCAACGTCGTCAACCGACAGTTCACCGCAGAGCGCAGTGCGATTGATCCAACGAAGAGACTCCTTGAGAGGCGACTGTGAATTCGAACAGGGAGCGAGCGTTTCGGCGACGGAGGAAGGCTGGTGAGTGGCGGAAGCAGAAAAAGAGGAAACGGCTCTGTGGTTCGTGGAAATGGATTTGGCGCGGCGGAGATGGGAAATGCGGCGGAATGTGGGAAGAAATTGAGGAGGCTTCTGGCGAAGGGTGGAGGAGAAAGGGAAAGCTCGGAGGAGGGAGCGGGACATGGCTGAGGGTTTAAGGTTTTGGGAATTGGGAATTGGGAATTGGTGGGCGCGCAGACGAAGGTCGAGTGGATGAACCCACGGTCAAGTGGGTGGCGTGGGGATGAAGATGGACGACCAACTTTGGCGCTTTATTTTTATGCTCTTTCTTCACTTTTTTTTTCTTTTTATATTTTTAAACCAGGGTAAAACACACTTTTTTTTTTCTTTTTTTTAGCCATCGAGTTTTAATATAGATTTTTATTTGGTCAGTTTTAAAAAGTGATATTTTAGTCCTTAATTTTTATAAAATAGTTCTAAAATGTCTCTAGAGTTTAATTTTCGTAGGTGGGACAAACGATGTAACATTGATTTTTATATAATATACAATATTTATTAATTTTATATTAAATTTAACTTAGGTGTAATTTTGTCCCTTTCTCTCTCTTTATATATACTCCTTCTTCTCCATTACTCATCCAACCGATGATTTCGAGATCATCGTGATGATTATGCTTAACATATGTGCTTTTTGGTTTTGACAGTTATAATCGATGAAAAACACTTAACTTTTAAATGTGACTTAACCATTGTCAGAAGGATTGTCAAAACCACTTTGTGAAACTACTTGCAAATGTGTAACCACCACAGTATCAAAGTTTGGAATGATTGTAACAGACCAATCTCTCATTATACCTATAAATAAGACGTTSGCTTCGGTACTTARAAATGTAATTCTGTTTGGAACCAACTTACTTACCTTGTTTTAGATTGACTTAAGCGTCAATATGTTTTTCTTTTATTATTTGTAGGTTCTTGCTAGCTCACTCTAATTAACTTTGGGTAAGAGAAGCTTGTGACAAATTTAAGTTCTTTCAAAATACAACATCAACTAATAAATAAATAATAACTTAATGGTCAACTATGTCAAAGGCAACTATTCTTACACTTTAAACTTTAATCATTCAATTGTTAATTTTTTTTTCTATCGTGATTCTTTTTAGTACAACATGTAAGGGTGAGGGATCAAACTCACAACCTCTTAACTAGAGATATATGTCAATTACCGATGAGCTATGCTCGCTTTGACCTTTTCCTATTGTGGTCGGAGACCCAACTCTTGACAATGTTTTGAATATATTTATGAATTATGATTGTCTTCTCTCATGGAAAGCAAATGTACGAGGGGAATAAACTATGGTACCCTAAAAAATGCTATGTGCATTTACCTCTCTTATTTCATTTTCTACCATTCGTCTACTCTCACATATTTTTCTCTTTTTCATTGTTCTTTAATCTATATATGTCTTTAAAAAAAAGTTTGTTTTGGTGTGAAAATGGAACGTAAGAGAGAGAGGCGCACTGATGACCTTCTAATGCCTACACCTAATGGTTTAAGTCGATGTTCCCATTTTTTCGTTGACCCATCATGCAAAAGGTACGCCGTTAAGCGGAATGTTCATTATGATGAGTTGTAGTCGATTAGGAGAACTGCTATGTCACAAGGTGAACAATCAAGTTAGTACTATTTGAGGTGTTCTCTAGGTAAACAGTTAATCACACATATTGGATACGTAAGTTGGGTTGCCCTCGAGCATAGTTGAGGTCGTGTTGAAGTATGAGGACTAAAATCACATTTTAAAAACATGATTTTTAACCTAATTTAAATTAATAATAGATTTAGTCAATCTAAATATATTTTACTAGTCAATGCATATTTTTTAGTAGGACATGCGAAAAGTTGTGAGTTCGAATCTCCTCACCATGTTGTACTAAAATCATAATAATAATAATAAATTTAAAATTATTATACCACATTTAAACATTAGTAAATTTTCTCATGGATAATTGATTTGAATGTATTTTAAATCCATTCACAGAAGAAAAAGAAAAAGTATAAATAAAGATGGAAGGGAAATTTTCACAACGGCTACATGCTCGGATTTACTTAATCTGGAGAAATTGATCCAACGGCTCTAAACTTCTCTCTTCCCTTTCCGCATCCGCATGTTTTACTTCTTCTGCGCAACTCCAACGGTCAAATCCAAAACCCTCCGTTTTAAAGCCCTAGGAAAACTAGCCGTTACTAACCAAGAAGTTGTAGCAAAAGCCCTCTCTCTCTCTCTCTCTCTCCTTAAATATTTCGCCGACTTTCCATTTCTGATCCATATTTCGAATCTCTGAATTTTCTTTCCACTGTATCTGAATTTTCACTCATTTTCTCCGTCCAATTCCATGGCGGTGCCTTCTAACAAGTCGTCTTCTCCGTCGATGGTAGCCGGAAGAACGAGCCCTAATTCTCGAAATTCCGAAGTCGGCAACGCCGTCCGCCGGAGCTTCTCCGGCAACCCGTTCACGAGGCCGTCGATCGTCGCCAATCCGAGAAGCCTCAATCCCGTCACTCCGGCTAATAGTCCCTCGGGTTTGTTCCTCTTCTCTTCCTATTTAATTGCTTTATTGAGATTTTCGCATGGTTTAAGTCTGTTTGGTTCCCGAGAAAATGGCTGAGAAAATTTTAGTAGCGTTTGAACGGCTACCAAGTCAAAAATCTATACTCATCGGCATAATGTCTCTCTTCTTCGCTACGATTTTGATCGATCTTTTGATTCCTCCACCGATTGTTTCTTCCGTTCTTTGAACGATCTAGACAGCTTTAAATCTGTTTGGTTGCCAAGAAAGTGGTTGAGAAAATTTAAACGTYTTCGTTATGATTTTGATGGTTATTTCGATTCTTCCACCGATTTCTTCCCCGTTGTTTTCCTTTAAATCGTTTCTGCGATCTGCAATTGATTTTCTTATTATGTACTGATTTTTCAGATTATCCGCGAAGGAATTCTGTAAGCAGAGAAATTCTATTTACTTCTCGTGATAACGAGGAGAAAGAAAACGGGAAAGATCAGAACCCGAAACCCATCCGAGTTCGTTCACCGTCGGTCGGGAAATCGTCGAAGCACTTCATGTCTCCGACGATCTCCGCCGCCTCCAAGATTGCTGTTTCCCCGAAGAAAAAGATTTTGGGTGATCGCAACGAGTCAGTCCGGTCGTCTCTTTCATTTTCCGGCACGAAAAGCTCTTCACTCAACTCGGTGAATCCAAACCCAGAGGCAGCAGCAACAGCAGTTGAATCTGATACAAATCCTGAAATCGTTCCGATTTCAAATTCCTCCATTGCAGCGCCAACTCCCAAATCATCAAAAACCGTGAGATTCGCTGGTTTTGAGGTCATTTCTGGTTCGTATGATGATGCAGAATCCACATACAGGTACGATACGAACACAGAGGTGGTGACAGTGGCAGTTGAAACCGATTTAAAACCAGAAATCGCTCCGATTTCTAGTTCAAAAACTGTGAGATTTTCTGATGTTGAGGTAATCTCTGATTTGAAGAACAATTTTGAGTCTGCGGATAAGAATATTTTTACAGAAGAATTGGATTGTGTCAATCTCGATCCTAGTTTTAAAATCAGTCCTGTTTCTTCTCCAATGGTAGCACCTCTCGATGCAGATCCATTAATGCCTCCTTATGATCCCAAAACTAATTATTTATCACCAAGGCCACAGTTCCTCCATTACAGGCCCAACCGAAGAATTGAGCGAGGCAACAGACTTGAGGAGTTCTTTTCCTCTGTCAATGCTTCCGAGTCCGAATTCGCCGAGGAAACTGAGTCTGAGAATTCGCTGAAGGAATCTGATGAATCTTCTTCCAATGAATCAGAGCAGGGAGAGGAAGAAGTGGAAGAAAAAGATGAAGAAAGGATTCATGTTTCTGAACAGAAGGAARCTATTGAAGTTAAGAAGTCAAGTGGGATGTTCAAGATAAGTTCTCTGCTTTTTATCCTTTCAATCACTTTCTTTTCGATATGTGCTGTGGTTCGTGATCCAAATATCTCAGAAAGATCAAGCTTATTAATGGTGGAGCATCCATCTGAAATTTACGAGTTTGCGAAGATGAATTTCAATGTGTTGGTTGGAAAACTTGAGGTTTGGCATGCGGATTCCATATCTTCTATTTTTCATGTGGTTTCCAACTTCAGAGGAGGAGCGCCATCATTGATTTATCTTAACCAAACCGAGTTCCTCTACAAGGATGTGGATGGGCAATCTCTCGTAACTCATCAGACTTTGTGGGAAAAAGAAAATTTTTTGAATGTAATCGAAGAAGGCGCCACGAAGGAAAGAAGAATTGAATATGCTGAGACGGAAGATCATGGCGTGGAGGAGGAAGAAGAATCATTGCAAGAGATTGAAGCCATTAAGGAGATAGAAGCTACGAATGAAGAAGAAGAAGAACAATTGTTGCAGGAGATTGAAAGCAAAACTAGTTATCCAGAAGTTGGTGAAGAGAATGACGAGATTTCTGCAAAATCAGCTTCTGAAAACATCGATGAAGAAGATGCCCAAGAGAAAGAAACCGAAGAGAATTATGCAGTATCATCAGCTGATTTTGAAATTCTTGATCAAATTGAACCATCTGCTTCTAATAAAATCGACGAAGACGACGTCCACGAGAACGAAATTGAAGAGAATTATGAAGGATCATCAGCTGATTTTGAAATTCTTGATCAAATTGAGCTATCTGCTTCTGATGAAATCGACGAAGACGACGTCCACGAGAACGAAAGGAAAGAGAATCATGAAGCATCATCGGCTGATTTTGAAACCCTAGATCAAGTCGGACCAGAAGCTGAAACAGGGGAAACAGAGGAAGAAAACAACGATTCGCTACTGCAACAACAAAGCAACACAGCTCCAGTTTTTTCCCCTTTTGCTGAACCTCAATCTGATTTTCAGTCTTCAAATGGCAGCAACATCAAGATTTTACAGGGAATCTCAGGAGATTTTACACATAACATGATGTTCGCGTTGCTGCTATCTCTAATTATACCTGCAGGATTTATTTATGCAAAAAAATCAGGCTCAAAACCAACCATTGCGGCGGTGGAAGAGCAAAAGCAATCATTGATGAAGGAGGAGGAGAAGACGAACCACAGTCCGGAGGAAGAAGAAGAAGCGGCAGATGATGAGCATGATGATGATATGACTGGAGAATCCTGCTCTTCTGAAACGAGCAGTTTCCAGTACAGCAGCATGAGAGGAGCAGCCGGAGCAGTGAAAGAACCGAGTGAAGCTCATAGCCATAGCCATGGGAGGAAGAAGAGGAAGAATTCAAGAAGAGAATCTCTGGCTTCTTCCTCGGATGAAATTTCCATTTCTGCTTCTCCTTCTCCATCTTATGGGAGTTTCACTACCTACGAGAAAATCAAGCATCATGTGAGTATCCCAAAACTGAAATTCTTTTGGGTTTGATTTTTCTTTTTTTAATATTTTTTTCCCTATGTGTTTAGAAAAAATCTATTCTAAAAAATTATAAGTTTGTTTTGCAAGAGAAGTAACAATCGTAGAAAACTCCCCAATGTTTTGTTATTTCCATGTATTTTTCCTTAATCATATATTATTGATTTAAATTGTGTTTTTAAATATATTATCTGCTTTTATTATGGTCTAATAAAATAATTTTGTGGAGTTTTTTTGTTAAAAAAAAGGTTTTTCTAAATCAGTTTAAATAAAAATTAGGGTCATAGTTGTGAAATATGACAGAGTCCTTAAATTAAAAAATACATAAAAAAAAGTTTAAAAATTGTAATGTTTTTTATCTCTCGAGTTTAACATTTTTTTTCTTTTATTTACAGGGAAATGGAGAAGAAGAGATTATGACTCCAGTTAGACGCTCTAATAGAATTAGAAAGCAACATAATAATAGTTGATTTATGTCTGAAATGTGCTGCTATTCAATTAGAATTTAGAATATTTTTTGCGTACGTTTAAGTTTAGGTAGATGATCGGGGTAGAACTGGAAAGCAACACAATTATCGTTGCTTTCATGTGCTTGGAATGTGCATATAATTTGAGTTGCTCATTTTTCATCTATATTAAGTCCAACAAATTCCCCACTTTTATAAGACAATTAATTTTGATAAATTTAATTAATTAAAGACAAATATATATAACACTTTTTTTTATATCAGTGAGTGTTCGTGTCAACTTATGCGCACCTCGATTAATAAATAAAAAATATTTATCGAAAATGTTTAAATTTTAATCGGTTCATTTTTAGGTTTGTTGTACTTGGTAATATGAACTTTTTTATATAGATATCAATTTTAATATTGCAATTATTATGCGTTGATATTTGATGAATCACTCGTGTTAAAAACTACATTCATGCCAAAATAATATGAGAGAGTACAATAATTATTTTGTAAAAAATAAGGAACTGATTAGAAAAAACAAGCGAAGATACTAAAACAAGCCCTCCAAAATTTTAAGTACTAAAAAATTAAATTTTAATTTATAACATTTTTTATTAGATATCTAATAAATGAACTAAATTTATCAAAATCATTTAAACTTTTTGATTGAGTTGTGATTTATTCATCCTTAATAAATACTAAATATCTAATATTTTTTTTTACTTAAACAATAAAAATCCAACCTAAATGAGAAATAATAGTAATTAAAAAATTTTACAACATGACAATAATATAGACAATTTGTAAGATTTGACTGAGTTATATTGACTGGATTTATGGAGACCTAAATTCAACTCGAATCATGTGGACTAAATTGAAACTATTAAAATTATAAGAATGAAATTGAAATCATTAAAAACCTTGTAACTCTAATTTGCAATTTAACGACAACAAATTAAATTTTGGGGAAAAATCAAATTTAAAGATATTGAAAATAAATTGTCAACTCTTGCTAGGTCGTGAGAGTATTTATAAAAAAAAAATGAAGACATCTCCAGCTGGCACCAACTGGGCAGATTCAAAATGCACTTGTAGTTGTCGCCTGATGGCAGAGACTGCAGATCTTGCTAGGCCTTGTTTTTGCCATCCGTACATTTTTGTCCAATCAACTTCACGTTTTTTCTCTTTTATTTTTTCCCTTATTTTTTAATTCTCATCACGAATTTAAATAAGTTTAATGATTTGCACTATTTTGGGTCTCATAATTTATGCGTTGTTATTTTATAAATTAAATTTTCAATTTTCCATTCATTAAATGTTTTGACCATATGGTCTTATCAAAACTTTGAGAAGTTTTGAGTTTTATAACGATATCTATGCTTGAGTATCAATTTTTTTTATAAACAGACAATTACTTTTGATTTTACTATATCTATTTATCAAGAAAATTCAATTTTTGAGAGGGAAAGAAATAGAGGGAGGTTTAACCGTGTTGAATTGTTTGACCGCAAAAGTGGCTGTATCTCTTCAAATTTTATTAAACGCAATTGATTTATAATGTAAAATATATATATATATATATATATATATATATATATATCAAGAAAACTAGTTGAATTTCAAATCTTAAGCACATTATTATTATGATTTGAACTAATTTATCTCCTTTCCTCCTGATTCCATTTATTTGTTTGTTAACTTAAATAACTACTAAGTTAATTTGTGATGGTTGCTTAGTTGAGATTTTTGTTCTACGATCTACTAGAACTCAAATTACTAACCGTTTATCAAATAGATATGCTACAACATCGTCTATTGTTTAGCTAAAGTTATCAACGAACAAAAATAATAATTCCAAATTTAGAGATGTAATTAAATTTTGATGGAAGTTTTTAAATGAATGTTTTGAAAATAAGTGGTTCCAACAAAAATGCTTTAAATTTTAAATTTTAAGCTATTTGATAATCAATCAATTTGAAATTTAGTTACACTATTAAAACAATATTTCTAACATACTTTTTCAACGAGTAAAGTGCTATTTTTATTATTTTTCAAGAGTACACATAAATCACTTCAAGATATACTTTTTCAACGAGTAAAGTGCTATTTTTATTATTTTTCAAGAGTACACATAAATCACTTCAAGATATGATAAATTTGAGTGAGGAATTGTTCAGTTAGATATTTTGGAAGAGTATTAGAAGAGTAAAAATCTCACATCCAAAAAATATATTGAGGTGACAGGTGTCAAAATACTTAAAGTATTAGTATGTATCCTAAATTTTTGAGATAGGACCGAATTACGTGTAATTGTAATATTTTTAAAATTTTTAAGTTTTTGGACTAAATTTGTTATTTAACGTCAAACATATTTATCATTTTCGACCAATTAAAAAAAAAAAGAAATTAGAGCGTGGGACGACACCGCAGGAAACAGTGCCCGCCACGTGACAGTTACAGGCCAACTGGACCACGTTTAAACCGAGGGAGCCAACGCCGGGAAAGTTAGTTGACCGGTAAGTTCAAATTAATATATTGCTTAACACCTAATACTGCGACAAAACTCTCCACATTCTCAAGAATTAGGGTTCTGCCCCGCAATCTTCCCATCGAATATTCTTCTTCTTCTTCTTCTTGTAAACTCCGCCATTGTTCGTTACTATTGTTCCAAACTCGGCGGACAATACCATTCGGGGCGATCCGAGACCTGTCTCGGAGAAGGCCGAAGATAGTTGCAGAGTTTCTAAAGCGGAGCTGAGTTTCATAGAGTTTTGATTACTCTTCAATGGCGGAGGTGAGTGCTATGATGATTCGTGCCCGCTGCAACTTCGTTGCCAAAAACCCGGTGTTAGATGTGAAGCATTCGAGGTTCGGTGTGCCGGTTCCATGTCGTACCATTTGGTGCAATCGGAGGAGGANGGGAAATTTGGAAATGGAGTGAAGGCGGCAATGCAGGTGGGTTTGGAGGATGAGGAGAGATTGAAGAGATTGGAGGCGACATTAGGGCTCGACGTAGTGTCGGAGAGGGAGTTGAAGGAGAAAGGGTTTTTGGGGATGAGGAAGACGAAGCTCGTATGTACGATTGGGCCCGCGTGTTCTGCGATTGAGGATTTGGAGAAATTGGCACTGGAAGGCATGAACATTGCGAGACTTAATATGTGCCACAACTCGAAGGAGTGGCACAGCGATGTGATTAGGAAGATCAAGAAGTTAAATGAGGAGAAAGGATTTTGTATTTCGGTAATGATCGATACTGAAGGAAGTCAGATTCATGTGGTTGATCATGGAGCTCCTTCCTCTGTTAAAGTAGAGGTAAATGTTATATTATATCCCTGTTCTTTTAGCCGCATTTGAAGTGGTAATCAAATGAATGCAGAAATATGATACTGGGGTCACTATTTTCCTTTGTAATTTAAGAACATTGGATTTATCATTGTTCAGGATGGCTCAATCTGGTTGTTTACTGCTGAGAAATTCGAGGGCTCTCGTCCATTCACTGTTCAGGCAAGCTATGAAGGCTTCTCTGAAGGTGAACCTTGCATCTTCTTTTTCTTCTTCATTTTCTGAATGGTGATTTGTAGAAATATTTGAATCCCACAAGTTAATTGGGATATGAATTTGAGGTTGATGAGCTCGTTGTTATGTGCTTTTATGAATTCTGTCAGGTATCGAAGTGGGTGATTCAATTGTAATTGATGGGGGAATGGCAACCTTTGAAGTCATTGAAAAGATTGGGAACGATTTGAGCTGCAGGTGCACAGACCCTGGTTTATTTCTTCCTCGAGCAAAATGCAGCGTTTGGAGAGATGGGAGGCTTGTTGCGAGAAATCACGAGTCTCCCACGCTGCCAAGTAAGGTAGAAACGTCTCTCTCTGCTTCAAATCAATGTTCCTTGTGATTAATTTTTCTTTTAATCCAACAAAACAGGATATGAGGATTTAAACTTCTAACCTTAAGAAAAGAAGTAGATTTAAGTTATCGTTGAATTATGCTTATGTTGTCTCATTTTGAGTAATTTATTTGCGATAAATATTCATCGGTGTTCTGTTTTAGTTCAAATACAACGTTGGAATGTATAAATATGATATATTCAAAGATCATAAGCCTGAGATATTGCATTGTTCATTGTGGGCATTCTTATGGAGAAAATGTTAGGTTCTTTTTTTTTTTAAGTTATCCCCTTGCTGTGGGATTACAAGTTTTTACCACTATACACTATTGTGGACATAATGTAAGTTTCACTCTTTGAAATTTTCTTTTTAACAATTGGGTTGTCAACGTGGACTAGATTTTACTGCATACAATATGGTGACAAAAATGTCAGATTCATTATTAAAACGTTGTCTTCTTATCGTGTGCTGTCAACATTACARGTTTTTGTCCCCGAATGATATTGTGGACGAAAGTTAGTATTTCATTTTCAAGTTTTCTGTGGGGGTTTTGTCAGCATTACGAGTTTTTTTTCCATGTACACTATCATCTCTGTCTACGATAAAATTTATCCTTTTTTTTCGCGCATAAATCTAATTTTATTGACAACGGGTGTTTTTCTCTTGACAAGGTTTAATTTCTCATATTAATGCATTAAAATGATAAACGAATTCAGTAAATTATGTCTTCTTGGCTGATGTCAATTCTATGCGCCTTAACACTGCTTTTTGCACGGTATGTTATTTGGTTTACCGTTTTACAGGATTGGTCCGACATTGAATTTGGCATTTCGGAAGGTGTCGACTTTATTGCTCTTTCCTTTGTGAACAGTGCAGACCCTGTCAAGCATCTAAAGAACTACCTCTCAACAAAATCACCAAAGTAAGCATGGAGTCAGAAAGTCAATATTTTACCACGAATTAGGTTARCATTGAGGAATTCTTTGCACCAAAGAATTACTGGTGAAATTTTGATACCGAAACAGATGTTGCGTAGCTTCTAAAATCTAATTTAGTAATGAAGGGAAAAAATATTTTCATGCACAGATCTGTAAGAGTACTGGCTAAGATTGAAAGCTTGGAGGCTCTGCAAAATCTGGAAGAAATTATAGAGGCTTCTGATGGAATCATGGTGGCTCGAGGGGATCTTGGGGTTGAAATTCCTCTCGAGCAGATACCAGCAGTCCAAGAGCAAATAACTAATGTCTGCAGGGAACTGAACAAACCAGTGATCATAGCTTCACAACTTCTAGAGTCGATGGTCGAATATCCTACTCCAACACGTGCTGAGGTACGAGTTACACATATTTAAAACGTAACTTTTGAGTTGAAATTACTGGTGCTCTCTGAACATTGTGTTGAGTTGACAGGGTAGAATAATGATCAGTCTTCGTGTTCATCATAGGTTGCAGATGTTTCTGAGGCAGTTAGACAGTATGCTGATGCATTGATGCTATCTGGGGAGTCTGCCATAGGATCATATGGACAGAAAGCGCTTTCGGTTCTGCAGATGGCCAGCAGCCGAATGGAGTTGTGGAGTCGTGAAGAAAACAGAAAAAATGTTCTTCCCAAGCTTCAACTTGGGGAATCATTGCACGATCGCATTGCCGAGGAAATTTGCAACGCTGCTGCTCAATTGGGTAAAATTTACTTTTCTCCGCTCCCTTTCTTTTTCTTTTTTCCCCCTTTTTCCATGACCCGGAATCGGAGTTTACTTCCCTATGTCGGGAGCATCCGTGTCCGTCTTAAAACTCGAACTTGGGAGACATCCAAAGTTTTCTTATTAAGTTTACCTGAAGATTGGAACATGCGACCTTTGGATTGAGTAAGGTGTTACTCAGACACTGCATGTATTTGTCAATCCGGTTACACATGGATGATGGAGCTCTCCACTCCCGATCATGAAAATAAAGTCGGAACTCCCTTCTCCGTCATATCATGTTTAACTTCTCCATGTTCTCTGTGGCAGCTAACAGACTTTCAGTAGACGCCATCTTCGTGCTCACCAAGCAAGGTCACATGGCATCTCTTCTTTCCCGCAACCGCCCGAGCCCGCCTGTATTTGCATTAACCGATAACGACAGCACGAGAATGGCCTTGAATCTACAATGGGGAGTGTTTCCTCTGCGCATTGACCTCTCAGACGACATCGAGGCAAACATTTCAAGAGGCATCGAGCTTGTGAAGTCGAAGGGGCTGGTCAAACAGGGGGACTCTGTGTTGGTGGTCTCAGAAATCTCTCCAGCTCGAGCTGCATCAATGGCGACACAGTCAATCCAGCTCAAAACCATCGTGTAGGAGAAGCAGAAACAGAAACAGAAGCAGAAACAGAAACAGAAACCAATCCCAATCCCAATCCAGGTAAAGCTTTATAATGGAAACTTTAGGATGCTTTTAGTGATTTATGAGTGTGTGTAGTCTGTAGTGTAGTGTAGTGTACCATATGGGTGGTTATTTGTCTATCTCAAAGACTTGAAAATGGAAGGTTTGAAGCTTGGATAGGTTGTTTGTACTAGCTGAATTACTCCATAAAATTTGGTACTGTGATTTGTTGGTATAAAATGACAAAACAAGGTGTACCACTATCTTCATCATAACTTGAGGTGAGATTTTTAGTTGGGATGCTTTTTTTAATTGGTTTCGGAATTTACTAGTATTATATTATCTTTTTTCTTCTTTTAATTGTGATTCAGTACGTCATATTTATACTGTCTTAAATCATAATCAAAAGTGAGAACTTAGCCCTCAGGTGGTAGAGAAATAGTATAGAACAGTTCAAACTCTTTTTTTTTTCTTTTTAATTAAAAATTGTATAAAATTTAAACAACTCACAAACATCCTCAATCCAAGATAGGAGAGGGACCAACCAGCGGAAAGAAATTATTAAAAAAAAAAAAAAGCTAAACACAAGGTCGAATTTATAGGCTAACACAAGTATGTGGTTCCGTCGTGGAAACATATAATTCATTTTTTAATGTTGGAAGTTTAAATTTCTGTCCCTCAAATTTATTGTACTAAAAAAATGTGGCAAGTAAGGATTCATTTAGTATCTTCTTGCTTTTTATTTCTAATTTTATTAAAAAAATTTAAGTATTTGACAACAATTTATACTTATTATTATTTTTAATATTTTTTAACTTTTTGTATATAGATATTTAAAATAAAATTCTCTTTAAATTTGTTCAATTTATTCTAGAGTATGATTGAAAGGGAGGGGAGAGAGACGTTAGAAACAGAATGAGATAAAAAAAAAAAAGAAAAAAAAACCCATTTTGAGAGTTTAACTTTTACCTTCAAAGTTCATGTAAATATTTTACTTATAGTCAAAGCGAGTATAGTTAACGGTAATTGTCATATCTCTCAAATAAAGAGACTGTGAGTTCAATTTCATACCCCTACGTGTTGTATATAAAAAAAAGTAGTAAATTATTTTTAATAAAAATTGATATAAACACTATCTTTTATTTAGTTTGAAGCCACAAGGGGGAGGTTTAAGATTATTGTTAATGATTAACAAGAAATTTACAACAAAGACTAAAATTACCTTTAGGATGAAATCAAACTATTTGAAAATTTAAAGATGGAAGATAAAATAAATAAGAAAGTTTCAGAAGCAAAATAATTTGTTTTATTCATTTATTGAAAAAGAAAATTCATCTATAAATAATGAATTGCCCCTTGTGGAACTCTCCACACCAAGCGTACGCAATCATTGTTATCCCCACATATACCTCTCTCCTACAAACCGCAAGCAAAATCCCACTGTGGGCCCCCACACGCGCACGTTAGCCCTTACAGCCTGTATCCCACTAAAATGCGCTACGGCTGATGCGTCCACGCTTTAATCGCCGCCTCCGATTGCTTTTCATTATTTCGTTTCGTTTTCTTTTTTTTTTAAGAAAATAAAATGAAACTATTTCTGCCATTGAAGAATTCCCAGGGAGGGAGCAAGCTCTAGCCTCTAGCTATGGCTGCCTTGCAAGTTCTGAAATCGGCCGTCTCTCCACTTTCGATCTCCCAGCCGAATTTTGGCTGCCGATCAAGCCGCTTTCTCTCTCAGTCGGATTCCACGAGGAGGTTTGTGCGGTTCCATGGCCGTCGGAGGAGTTTGAGATATGGTTGCGTTTGTAGAAGGTTGAGTTTCCGCTGCGCTGCTCAGGATGCTGATAAGGAAAGCAATGGCAAGTTTTAACTGCTCTTCTTCTTCTGCTTCTTGCTCTGCCTTCTTTTGTTCTATGTTTTTTCATTCTCAGTGCATTCGCCTTGCTTGGATCTTGCTGAATTGATGTTCGTTATCGTGAACTTTGTCTTGCTTAATTTCAAAGCGAAACTAACTTGCTTAGACGAGGCAATAGTTCCTGATGTGGTGTTGTTCGTCGGATGGTTCGTCACTCTCACTCCTCAATTATCTTGTTCTATAGACAATCGTGCGAGCATCCGTCCGTCAATTCGTCCGTCATTTCTGGATTGTCTCTCTCAATGCATTTGCCTCGCCCGGATGTCTTGATGAATTGATGTTTGTTATCATTGACTTCCGCGAGACATAGTGAGGCAACTTAAGTAGCTTAGATGAGGCAGGAGTTGCACGGTGTAGTTTGTACTTTGTTGTTCAGATGGTCTGTCACTTCTGAGTTATCTTTATTTTGTCGACAGTGGCAGAATCGTTCGAGATCGATACAACTATTCGTCCATCGTTCCTTAATTCTCATTCTCAGTGCATTTGCCTCACTCTGATGTCTGATGAATTGATGTTCGTTATCGTAGACTTTGTCATGCTTATTTTCAAAGTGAGACATAGATTGGAAAATGCACATAGAAAGATAGTTCAGGAATGGACGAGTAGCTGGACGGATCTCGCATGATTTTGCTAGATGATTGTGTTACAATCTACGGAGCAAGATAATGGATGTTCGTTATTGTAGCATTCGTCTTGCTTATTATTTTCAAAGAGAGAGGTCACGAATTAGTTTAGAAGAGGCAGAAGTTTCGTAGTGTAGTTTGTTGTTCAGATGGTCCGTCATTCCTGAGTTATCTTGCTCTGTTTAGTTGGCACTCCAATTCTTTAGAGCTTGAGTCAATATAGGCAGCAGCAAAGATTAAATTTAAACCCGGAATCTGAAATTTTAAGCTGGGAATTTTGATGATATTTAACATTTTTTTTAGTCGTAGAGGAAGATTTTCACATCAAGCTGTTAACCAAAAAACTTTTTTTGTTCAGCCAGCAAACACTTGGCAGTGCACAGTTAGATTATATTGGTCCAATTTTTATAGTTGAAGCTTTTAGGAAGCGACATTCTGTGCCAAGCCAACAGTTGTAATGCCCGTACCTGTACTGAAACTACCTGTATTAGGAGTGCTCGCTGGCTATGCTCCTTTAGATTGTCTGAACAGCTTTTACAATAGGCCATTGCTCCTCCTAGAAGAGTTTTCATTTCGGGCATTGAGTTTTATTCAGCTGGTGCGACAGTGCACAGTTTGCTCTGGCCCTCCTAAAAATAGTGGCTGAGAAGGCTTAAGCTCGTTTCCTATGAAGTTCCTGACAAGTCTGTTTTGTGTCTTCCTACCATGTCGCACCTGGCCTCTCCTTTCTGGGTTCATTATAGAAATAATTTTTACTTATTATAGCAGAGCTTTTAGAGTTCACCTGATTAGATGTTCCAAGCAAGTTGTATCAACCGTACATTCCCAGAATCCCAATAATTTGTTTCCTATAAATCAAGTTACACGTGCACCGTACCAGAAGACCGTAATGTTGAGTTGTAATATTGAGTCAGGATCTGTTGAAGCTAACTAGAACACTTTCAATTTTGAAGGACTCCTAATGTTTTCCAAGGTTAGAGGAAGTTTTTTGGTCGCTCTCATTTGTCATCGTGTGAACCAATCATGATATGACATGACCATATTATTCCCTGCTTCCCATTTTTCATAGTTTGAATAACTCAAGCATTCTTAGTAGTTTTTCCATTTAGTTTGTGACTAGTAATGGAATATTCAACACATTATATTATTTGAATTGAATGTATTAAAGAGAGTGTTTCTCTTGGGAGCTCCGATTATGTCTTTTTAAGGTGCTTTACATTATCTTTTGCAGGAGAAGAACCTCCGGAATCATTATTCATGAAGGAACTGAAGAAGAGAGGTTTAACTCCCACTTCCTTGCTTGAGGATAGTAACAGCAATGACTTCGGACTTGGTGGTGAGATGACGGGAGAAGGAAGAGATTTCTCCAGTAGAAGTGCTGTTTCAACTGAAGTTAACAAGAGCCTGTCCAATCAAAGGGAGCGTTCCATGCAATTGAACAGTGAAGGCCTTGAGGTTAATTTCCTTATGGTTTTATTGGAGTTTATTGAATATGCTGTTCAAATGGCTAAATCTATTTTGTCTGATCTATTTTGTTTTCAATTATTCCCTTGCTCGACGAGTTATGACCAAAATAACCAGACAGGGTGACCAGTTAATGAAATCAATATTCCTGTTCGCCAAGAATTATGAAAACCTGAGCCATCCAAAACCGAAAGCCTAGACAAATAAGGAATCTACAAAAAATGGTTCCAATCGTTTAGGATCATCCACAACAAAGGGACCACCAAAAACTCTTTGAAGCAAAAGTCTAAAGGTAAGCATTGTAGTGAGCCAAGCTTCAAACATCCCCTCATGTCTCCGTCCCCATAAAAATCATCAGGTTTCTTTCTAACCAACTTCAATGAAAACGAAATAATCCGCCTGCCAAAGAACCTTCCCTTTGTTGCAAAAGAGGATGAAAAACAACCTCCTCCATCAGATCATGAAATGTCTAATTCCCCATAGGCCCAAAATTTTATTCCAAATCTTCTCGGCAAACATGCACTTCAGTGGATTATGATCAAGCTCTTCATACCGTACCATCTAAGTTTAACCACTGAGGACTTCTCAAAAATCCAAAATAGAAGAACTTAGCCAAGAAAAGAGTCGACAGCAAGACCTTCCCAAGTTTAGTGAAAGAAAAAGGGTAAGTGGTTGAGACTGGACGGAAGTATGATTCAGATGCGTAAAAAAGGATTTGCAGTAAACACACTAGAAGATTCACGGGCAAGGAAACCTGGTCGATGTAAAGCACAGAAACCAACTCCCTAGCTTCTCTGTCAAAAAAGTTATCTTGGAAGGGAAGTTAATTTGAACCAAACCCAAAAGAAGAAAAGAAAGAAACTACAAAAAGTTTCTTCATTGAAGAGAGAGATTATAAAGCAGGGAAATAGAGAGTTAAAAATCCAATGCCAATTGAATGGCTAGCCCTCCCGAAAATAAATAATGGAGTCGTTCGGGACTGAAAGATTAGACAATATATAGAATGAGGAATAATAGAACGATCCTTCCCAATAGAAGTTGAAAATAAGTTTATGAACAGTGGTTGGAGGTTTGAAGATTGAAGGTGCTTTTCCTCTTTCTAATACCTCTAGCCCAAATTTCACCCATCTAATCAGTAGAGAAACACCGACGAATCTGGTAAATATGCTCTTATTGTCTTGCTTAAAATAGAAATCTGGGGTACAAAGCAAAATTTGAGTCTCCTACACATCTCTGGAACCCTATTCTGTTTCCTAACTAAAACCAGGAAATATAACCGAAAACTTCATTTCCAAATTTATGCTCGGTCAAACACAATAAATTCAAACTAGTTAAGATTCATTAATGGTTATACCTTTAAAAGAGAAAGAGAGAAAAGTCTGGCTGTCTCATTGATTTTCCATCTTGAAATCAATTTCTGCTGTTGCTTTTGTACTCTTCCAATTGCAAGTGACTATTATCTCTGCTGCTCCATACTCGAATGATCGGCATTGGTACGCTGGTGTTTAATCGCGTATTTTGGTTTCAGGGGTTGATCCCTCGTGCCAAACTTTTGCTAACAATTGGGGGAACATTCTTCTTAGGATTCTGGCCGTTGATCGTCATCACTGTTTCATTCTTTTTTGCTTTATACTTCGTAAGATTTCTCTCTTACTGCTACGATTTCAGTTTAACATTGAAGCTGGACTTTGTGCTTGATTTTAAGATGAAAACTAACAGGGTTGCAATTGGTATCTATCTCTTGATGCAGTTTTTTGGACCGTCTTTTGTTCATAATGGCGAAACGCCAATATCTCCTCCACCATATGTTGATCCATATGCTCTGTTAGAAGACGAGAGAATTTCGCAAACAGCTCCTCGTGTAAATTGACTGCCTCATTCTCATTGGTTGGTTTTCCTGCTACTTTGTTTTCCTTTTACAATATGTAAATGATTATTAGCTAGAATTTACTTGTTTAATTTACTATTTTCACCCATGATCCTGTTCTTGTTTCCTTTTTAAAAGATTAAGAAAAAAAAATAACAGAAATATGTTTGGGGCTGTTTCTTGTTCCCGTGGATACAATTTTCGGGACAACTGTCTGACCCTACAACGTGGCCATCATGGGATTTGAATATATTTTTATTTATGTTTTGAAAATGGGAAACAAGATATGATTTTATTTTCCAAAATCTCTACTCAAATTAAAAAACTTTTCATAAAAATGAATCCGAAAAACAAAAATAGTTATAGAAATAGTGTTTTTCAAATTTAAAGTCAAAATATTACCCAAATGGCCTCTTAATTACTCAAACCTATGGGTGTTGTGATTTCTGATTTACAGTTTTTATAAGCTCTAGTTTTGTTTTTGTAAACCTAGGAAAGTTTTGGAAATTTGGGTTATATATAAAAATTTGGGTTAAAGATAAATGAATTATAAAAATTTGAGTAGTAGGTGTAATTTGTAAAAGTGGTAATCAAAGATAAAATTGAGCATCTTTAAATTTTTCTTGACTTCAAAGTAACGTTCTACCTTTTAGGTGTGCGTTTGAGTTTTTTTCAGAAGTCAGTACACCACACAACAAAGCAAGTCTTTTCAGTTCAAACATCATCCTCATCAAAATTTTTAAAAATTAATAATATCAAGTTGTTTTCAGCATCAGCCATTTTATATTGATGATTCAATGAAAGGAAAAAACAACTTTCTCAAACCCCACAAAGATATAAAGAATTGACATATAGAAATACAACTGGCCATTTAAAATGAAATGGCAATTTGATTGTTGATTAGACATAGATTGTTCACAAAAGCCTTTGGAAACAAGAAGTATCACAGGATAACATTTTCATATAAAGAAAAACACATAACAACAGACACAAACAAGTGAAGGTGTACCCCCCCTCCTAATAAAGGTGAGATCTGGAAACATTGTCTAATAATCCTCACCTTCATCATCTTCACCCTCGGCTGACTCAGCACCGACTTCTTCGTAATCCTTCTCGAGGGCAGCAAGATCCTCCCGAGCCTCGGAGAACTCTCCTTCCTCCATACCCTCACCGACATACCAGTGCACAAAGGCACGTTTGGCATACATGAGATCGAACTTGTGGTCGATGCGAGAGAAGACCTCAGCAACACTGGTGGAGTTCGAGATCTTGCAAACAGCCCTCTGCACACGGGCCAGATCGCCTCCGGGGACAACAGTTGGTGGTTGGTAGTTGATACCACACTTGAACCCAGTGGGGCACCAGTCAACAAACTGGATGGTGCGCTTGGTCTTGATGGTGGCAACAGCAGCATTCACGTCCTTGGGCACAACATCACCTCGGTACATAAGGCAGCATGCCATGTACTTGCCGTGTCGGGGGTCGCACTTAACCATCATGGACGACGGCTCGAAGGCACTGTTGGTGATTTCGGCCACTGAGAGTTGCTCGTGGTAGGCCTTCTCGGCTGAGATCACTGGTGCATAGGAGGAAAGCATAAAGTGGATTCTGGGGTAGGGGACCAAGTTGGTCTGGAATTCGTTCACATCCACGTTCAGGGCACCATCGAACCTCAGACTGGCGGTTAAAGATGATATAACCTGAATTATACAAAATCATGTGAGCCTCCCAGAAGTTCATAGTTTTATTGGTATCAGATCTGATCCAAAAACTCTTAAATGGTTACCTGGGACACGAGACGGTTGAGGTTGGAGTAGTTGGGTCGCTCGATGTCAAGGGAGCGCCTGCAGATATCATAGATGGCTTCATTGTCGAGGAGCACAGCAACATCGGTGTGTTCCAAGAGAGAGTGGGTTGAAAGGACACTGTTGTAGGGCTCAACAACAGAAGTTGAGACTTGTGGGGATGGGTAAACAGTGAACCCGAGCTTGGATTTCTTTCCATAGTCAACCGACAAGCGCTCCAAAAGGAGGGAGCCAAGACCAGAGCCAGTACCACCACCAACAGCATTAAACACAAGAAATCCTTGAAGACCAGTGCAGTTGTCTGCCAGCTTACGGATTCGGTCCAAGCAAAGATCAACAATTTCCTTCCCAACTGAAATTAAACAGAGAAAACATTATGAATAAAGGAATATTGGATCTAATTCATTGGAGAAATCTAGATCAAGTAATTACCGGTGTAGTGACCACGGGCGAAATTATTGGCGGCATCTTCTTTGCCACTGATGAGCTGTTCAGGGTGGAAGAGCTGGCGGTATGTTCCAGTCCTCACCTCATCGATGACAGTAGGCTCAAGATCAACAAACACTGCACGAGGAACATGCTTTCCTGCACCTGTTTCACTGAAAAAGGTGTTGAAAGCATCGTCGCCTCCACCAAGAGTGGTGTCACCGGGCATTTGGCCATCGGGCTGCACAGATTTACAAACAAGATTTAGATCACTTTGTTCGCTTCACCTGGGTGGCATTTTCCTAACAGCATTCGATTGGTTCTAAATCAAATATAAATAGGCCAATTATTCAGAGATAAGGCAAAATGCAGATAACGAGGAGAATGTAATAACAGAGATTTCAAATAAACAGCGACTTTAACCACGCACATTACAAATCGAAGATCCAAAGGTATTCAACTAGAAATTCAACACACGCCTGAGATTCAACAGATCGCAGCTAGATACGTTCTCTATTTCCAGATCTCGATGGACAGAAGGACAAATATTCCATATCTCGAAGACAAGGTGGACTAACGATGGAATACAACACAGATTCAACAATTTACGATTTTCCAACACAGATTGATGATGTAGATCTAACGAGACACAGCGTGTAACCTCAATAACACATCATGCAATATGGGAAAAACGTGGAGTTAATCAAACAAGTCGTACTGATCCACATAAAAACACTCGATGCGTGCGGTAAAGCTTCTAAATCTAACAAGAACAACAAAACCTATGCGACAAAATCGCTGGATTCAGAAATGATGATAATTCCTTACAGATCGGGCAAACGAGAGCCAGAACAAAGACAATGAAACCTATGCCACAACAACGCAAGATGCAGAAATGCCAATAATTCCATACAGATCGAGCAAATGAAAGGCAGACGACAAATCTCTTACAAATCTAACAAAAACAACAGAACGGAAGCCAAAACATCACTAGATGCACAAATGACGACAATTCCTTACAGATCGAGAGAAAGAAAGGCAAAGAAACGAGCGTAGAATACCTGAATGCCGTGCTCGAGGCAGTAGAGCTCCCAGCAAGCATTTCCGACCTGGATACCGGCCTGACCGATGTGGATGGAGATGCACTCTCTCATTTTGGGTTAGAAATGGGAGAAGAAGAAGAGATCTGAGAAGGAAATGGAGAAACGAAAAATGCTCGCAAGAGGAAGAAAGACGTTTGTGAAGACGCCTTCCCCTTTGAAACCCTTTGTGAGGGGAAGCGATTGGAGAGGCGTATTTATAGTGGGAGCCGAAGAGAGCGTTGTTTTTTACCGTTGGGGGCAATTGGACGGCAGCTAAGCCTGAGTTGGATTTGGATTGGTTGAGCATTAACCATGGTTAGGAACTTAGGGTTTCGCTTTTTTCTCGTTGGTCCTATTTTCAAATTTTGAATTCGAGTTCTTGGCGGGTAATGGGCCGATGTTATGGGCTGGGCCTTGGGCTTCGAAACGGTTCTTCCAGCTGGATCCGGTTGGCATTGTCCACCCTTCGTTCTTTTTGTGAAATTACGAATTTGGTCCGGCTATTCTAATTTTGCTCTTTATGACGTCGGGGGATTAAGACTTTTTTTAAAATTTTTAATTTAGTTTCTACGGGATGGAAGTTTCCATTTGATTCTTATAATTTCACAAAATCATATGTAGGCTCACTCGAAATACCATTCATTTTTTTTCTATTTTTCACATACGCCTAAAACTCTAATATAATCATACATTTCTTGTATATTAATACAATAAATACCAAATTGAAACTATGTTTAACCTATTGGTATTTAACATTTCTAGAGGGAGGGCCACAACTACAAGGCTAATTTATTTGTGAGCAAGCAAGTCCAATATATAGTTAAAATTAATTAAATAAACTTCTCCATTAATCAATTAATTAAAATGTTGAAACTTGAAAGTTGTAATTCTTCGTTGAAAGAAAAACGTAGTACTTTCGGTATTTATTTTACTTAATGAAAATTTTATCTCATAAGAATGCACAATCGAATCATTTTTTTTTTTAAGAAAAAACAATACTAAATTAGTACAGAGAATCCAAACATTTAGAAGCAAGAAATCCTCTCTTTGTTGTTGAAATAATCAACCCCGAATTTGCTCCTACTTAAATGTTGGATCTATTGAATTTACAGGTTTTCAACAAAAGAATAATCGAATTAACGATATATCGTGTAACAACCATAAAAGTTTAGAGGATATTTCTCACTTTAGCCTGTTCATAATGGAAATGATTTTAAATTGGTGTGGCCCCACGAAAGAAAAATACAAAAAGATACTAAAAAAATTAGTGACACCCACCCACCAAAATAAAATAGGAATAAATTGATGAAAATAATTGCCCATTTTAATGTCAAGATCATGAACAAGAACTGGAAATCATTCACAAGATAAAGCAACTGAATGCTCCCAATGATTCTCATCCTACTTGTTGAACTCAAAAAAACAAACAAATACATATATATTCTGATCAGCAAATGTCTCCCACCTTAGCCACTTTGGAACTTGTGCAAGGCCATATTATTTTAACATAATCACAGCATCATCTTGTCAGTTATAAGGAAAAAAATTACAGAATATTCCACTTGACAGTTGAACCCAACAAACTTCTTAAATCCTTCCATGACAAGCAATGAAAATGAATAACAAAACTTTCAGAAAGCAAAGGCAATATTTAATTTAACACAATCACATAATCACCGTCTCAGCTTAGACAGAAACATGACAATATTCCACTTTACAGTTGAACCCAACTTATTAAAAGCCTTTAAATAACAAAACGGTGAATGACAAAAACTTCAAAAAGCAATGTCTCTAAGTCATTTCACTTATGCAAAAACAAGAGCTTTGAGGCTAGCTATATAGACAAAGATCCATGGCCTAACCTGAGATGATCTCCATTATGGCAAAGATTTCTAACAGCTTATTCCTTTGCATAAAACACCAAAAACTAGAGCCAAAAAGTGCCTAGATGGAGCTCAGATTCCATACTCATCTTCCTCTCAAATCACAATTTGGCATGAAAGCGTATCGCCGTGGAACCCGACCTAATGTTTGTCCAGGACGTCCATATGTAGGGAGCCTGATACCAGGCACAATGTCATAATCTCCCCCAATTACATGAGGAGCTGGAAAAGGAAAAGGGCCTCGTCTGAAAGCGGGTTGGTACTGTCGCCTGAAACCAACAAGATCCCTCAATTGGGTAGTCCTCCTGTTTCTCAGCTTTTCATTTTCCAGATATGAAACATATTTTGGCTTCCAAAGCCTGATTCCTCGAACATCGTCCTCGCAACCAAACTCTTGATTGAACTTCAGCTTCCACAACTCATTACTGGAGGCCAAGTAGCGCAATTCAGTACACACACATTCAACTCTTCCAATGTCTACAGCAGGGAGAGCCTCCAAAATCTTCAGTTTCACATCAGCTGGAAGTAGCATAAAGCTTGCAGGAGGAGGTAGACCAGTTTTTTCACACAGATCAATCAAGAGTGGCAATGCAAGAGCATCCTTCACTACCTTCCAAAATTCAAAAACTTGTCTCTCTGGGTTCCCTTCGTTTTCGTCCATTATGTGGCTGGCCACTGAATCCACCCAAATCAGATCAAGACTCGGTGCAAATTTTCTTTCATCTAAAGATACACGATACACACTTGATCCTCTACTGCAGCTAAGAGACCCATAAACATTAACAAAGTGCCCCAAACTCTGAAACTTCAATAAAACTATTTCAGTCATGGCAGAGTTCTTGCCCCCCTCGGCCAAAAGTTCGGGTAGAGTGTACCAAAGAGACATCGAAAACGATGGGGAAGGCCAATCTTCCGGCATATGGAAATGATTATCCTCAGCACCTAAATTAGGATCAATCAGCACAAATCCAGACTCCAAAAGGACCGCGTGGACGGCAGTGACCAACAGCTTGTGAGCATTACGATCATAACCTAACTCCTCCTTCAGCACTCTCCTCAAAAAAATCGGCCTCGAACATTTCTTTTCAACGACTCCGATTGGTTCGTCCTCGACGTCCATTTCTTCACAATCCGAATCCAAAATTTTCTCCCCTTCCTCGACCGTGCTGCCTGTAGTCATTTCTTCACCCAATGACTCGGGTCCCATGGATAAAGGAGGGTGCTCCACTACATGACAGTTCTCCAATCTAGGTTTTTTAAGATCGCAGTCGATGCCCTGAATTTGCTTTCCTTGAACCTGCGGTCGCGATGAAGACGCACCAGGAACAGGAGCTTGAGGAGATTGAATCGACGTACCTCCCTGAGAGGAAAATCCCGAAGGATTAAAAGCGAAGAAAAGAAGGTCACCTGAAGTAATACCCATGAAGTGCAGCGTATCCTCCGGCGACGATCCTCGGAGTTCATCCTTCCGATTGAGAGAGAGACGAAGAGAATCGGCGGAAAATGAAGAGGAGAGTGTTTGGAGGAGCGTCTCTTTCAAGTGCTGGAGAGTAGATTGATCGGGGACTTCAATTCTGACGGTCTCTTTGGATTCTAGGGATCTCAATCTCAACTTCATGGTTGAATTTGGGCGTATCCACTCAGAAATTCTTCCGATTCAGTTAAGATTAGGGTTCGAAGAGACTGTGGATTTCAATTCTGTTCTTGCGGATGAAGAAAATAGGCGAACCGTTGATCTGGTTGGGATTATATTCTGCCGCTGAGACCGTCTTTGGCGTTATTTCCGTTCAGTTTCGCGGCGTTTGATAACTGATATGTAAATATAACTAAAAAAAATCTCAGCCCAAACCCACTTAAAAAACAAAAATAAATACAAATAAATAARTAATACTAAAATAGTTTTTAAGTTTTGTTAGGTAGAATAACTACTACTAATCTATACTCACTTTAGAAAAAATAGTTTTAAATTAAAATATCTATCGATATTCAATGATACATGACCTAATCCAACAGTTTAAAAGTACAAGTCCAAGATTAACAGAAATTAAAGTATAAGGATCAAAACAAACATTTAAAAAATACAATAGAGAAGAATAAGATAAAGTCTTCATCTTCCATCAATATAACATTTCTAATTTATACGTACAAAAACACCCTATATTCTCCTTACCATTGGTCCCGTGTTTTCTCATCTATAATTGTTAGTTAGCTAGATACAATGATATAGTACAAACTACATCTACTTTATATATCACCCCTAAAAAATGGTGCACTAAAGAACGAACTCGAGAACGTGCCTCCACCATTAGGGAACAGGGTGAGGAAGCAAATGAGGCCGAGGACGACGCCCCAAGCATACCGATCCTCTCCCAATGGAGTGATCTCGTCGGTTGCAGGGACTTCTTCGCCACCTCGAAAGAAGGTTGCAAACAAACCCCATGCCAAACAGAGGACACTCCCGCTCAACCCTCCAATACCGAGCACAAGCGACGTGGCAAACGAAAGCAGAGCTGCAGTGCTTCTCCCGAACATGGCTTGCGCAATGCGGCCTCCTTCGAGCCTCCCGCACGGCAACAAGTTCAAAGATGTCACTACCATGCCTGTAGAAAGAACATTGAAAAGTAAGTCCAAGAGAGTTGTAATCATAAATAAGGAGTTGGGTTTATGTGTTCATAAAGGGAAGATGGGAAGAACCTAAAAGGCCAGCAAAAGCAAGAGGATCCACAGGAACTCCAACACCTTCCACTGCATATGGGAGTACATTGCCAAGGTCATCTGTGTAAGGTCCAATAACAAACTGGATAAAAGAAAGCAAGGGGTTGTTGTAAAAGAATTGGGGTCTGATGTACCTGAAAATTAAGAAAGTAGTCATTTTCGAGTGCGAATCCAACTGCTAAACGAAGTAGAAACTGCAAAAATCGCTTCTAAGCGATAGTGCTTACAATCAAACCTTCAAACTTCTTGAATTAAGTCATGTCATTATAACTCAATTAGTTGGATTGCGGAAAATACACCAACCGAGTCCGAATCTGATTGTTACAATTAAATCCTCGAACGATAAAGAGCGAAAAAATGGCTCAAGTTCAAACTTCGGAGTGAGATTGTAAAGTTTCTGCAATTCTCCCAGAGTTCAAAGACAAATTCGTGAAGTACTGATATACTTCTTTGTTCCCATAGTTTGTCCAGGTTATTTGAATTTGACATTCACCAAATTCAAGCTTGAGTTTTCTGATGTTACTTAAATCTTTAAGTATGCGGTTTGCATTTTAGAAAGATGGAAACCAACTCTCACAGAGAAAGGCTATAAAGTCTAGAGAGAAGGCACTTACAATGCATTGTCGCCACCATTAAAGCCACCATCAATCACAAAAGCAGCGATTGCAAGCGTCAATGACGTTAAATATGCAGCAGCAGTTCGTGCTACTGGGATATCGAAAAGCGCTTTCTTGTTTGGAAGTAGTGATTCATAGTTATTCATCACTCCTAAGCATCCCGTCCAATTGGAAGGCACGAGAAAAGAAGGGCTTAGCTTCACGCCATAACGAGCAGCTGTTACCCTCGTTGCTATCTGCAAATCACAAGCGAGCATTTCAAAATCTGAGTTTTCAGTTTGAAAAACAAATACATAACAAGAAGCACTGGCAAACTTCATAGGAGAAAAGTAAGAAAAAGATGCAGTTTAGAAACTCAAGAAGAGTAATCTCCCTTTGTCCCATCTTTAATGGCAATGTAGATATAGAATAGACAATAACTCAATACACAGTAGGATGTGTTTGGGAGTAATTTTGACATGACAATATCACTTTTGTCTTTGCCAAAATCATTTCCATTATCATTGATCATGTTTGGCAAATTAAAAAATTGATTTAAGGAAAACATAAAATCACTTAAAATCAATTTTAAGGTATCACTTGAGTGGTGATTTTGGAAAATCAATTATTCTTAAATCTCTTTTTTCGAAATCACTCATACTATCATCACTCCCAAACAAACCCTAAGATCTGAGGCCGTCTCCTAATTCTAGGTTCTCTAACTAGCTCCCACTTATCCCTACTAATTGCAGAACCATTAACTAAAACGTAAACTTATAAGAGATAGCTTTAGGAAAGACGAGATTTCACGCAATGAATTAAACTTTTGAGAACGGCGAAAATTACATTTCGAGAATGGTGAAGAAAAACAAATAAAGTTGGTTTACATACCTCAGAAACTCCCAAGATAGAGATAAAGCCACCAAAGAGGGGAACAACATTAGCTATATAGTCATCAAAGGTAGCACCAGGTTTTAGGAAGAAGCCACTCGTCAAAGCAATGGTCCCAAAAGTTGAAACACATAAAGTTATTGCACTGAAATACCCCAATGGAGTACTCAGCTTTGTAGACTCAAATTGGAGATCTATTTCTGCCTTGGGTTGCACCATGCAGACCTAAATCATAATCAAACATACAAGTGAAAGATTTCAATATCGACCACAATAAAAATGTTAAGATCTCAACTCAATAGAAATCAATATATGAAATCCTAATTATTAGTATCCATGTTCATATAAGTGATATTTTATTCCTGCGTATTTTTACGATATAATTGAAATGTTCATCAACCCCTCGTATTTGTGTTGAACATAAGATTTACATAAATATCGACATTGCTTTATCGAACTATATTGGTAGAGTTGGATTCTACCTGTTTTGTGATGTCATCTGTTTTCTCTTCCATGAACCATAGGACAACCTCCCTTCCTGCTGCCTCCGACAGCTTTTTCTCCAACTGGGGAATCACTTCTTCAATGGGTCTCCTCAAGTTCCCGATGAAAATACCTCCATCTCCAAATCTACGTACATCAGTAGCAAAAAATGTATTGAACCCAAAGCAACTCTTTAACTGCCAAATCAAAGTCAGTTCGTTAATTTCCAGCATTAGTTTCCATCATTCATAATCTAGGGAGCACAGGCATTTCATTTTGGGTAACGTATCCATGTCAAACACTCCGAAACTTATTGGACAACATTTGTTAGCTCAATAAATGTGTGTCACACACGAGTGGTACGAAGTGAATATGAATTTGACACTTGTTAGGCACAATCGATCGCCTGTTAAGCATAAAAAATAGACATAAATAGTAACATAGGACAAAATAATAAATTTTGAGAGCAAAATACATCAAAACTCATTTTTGAAGCATAAAAATATATTAACATTATTGATTTTAAATTTCATTATTGCGTAAAAATGATATATACTTGAAAGAATTGTATAATTTAATAAATGTATCATTACCTTGTCAGCGTCGTGTCCTAAATTTTTTTAAAATGATGTGTCATCGTGTCCGTGTTGTATTATATCAGTGTTTCGAGTCCGTGTATGTGCTTCTTAGTTCATAATCGATAAGACGCGAGTGTGTGGATTATGGTTTAGACTACCTTTAGAAAGCAACTCTTGATGCAAACTGTTCACTGATAGTGAAATTTTGGAAATTTTTTACTTGGTAGTTTACTTTTTGAAATGTTTGTAAGTACATATTTTTATAAAAATAATTATAAATATGATTTTTTTTTAAATAAATAATAAATTTAATATATATATATAACAACTCAAACATAGATTATACAACCCTACTGCCAATAAAATTAAATTTTCTAATGCACCTGACTATTTTAGCAAACAATACTTTTCTTACCAACTCACTGGCCAACTGCCCAAAACTAATTTTTTACCATCAACTTCCATATTATTAAATGATGATAATTTTACCTTTAACAAGAGGAAACTACAATTGTGTATATATATATATTTTTTTTTGTAATATTTACTAATACCTATATTTATAGTTTATACACAGCAAGAAATTGAGAAAAAGAACGAAGAAATAAAACTAGAAAAGTACCTTGTTGAGATCGAGAGCCTTGAAAGTCTCTTCAGCCTTCTCTAATCTTTCTTTCTCTTTTGTCAAATTATCGCGAGCAATTTTAGTGAAGAATCCTACGATCGGACTATCGCCGCCTTCACGATCAAGTTCCTTCAGCTTCCTATCCGCCCTCTTCTTCTCCAGCTTTATGGCTGCTTCGATCGAAGGATTTCCCATGAACTTCTTGAACTCCTCGTCCGTCTTCCAATCCATTTCCTGCCGTTTCTCTCTCTCTTCAACCTCGTCTTCTCCGCCAGACGATTCCGCCTTCTCGCCGTCGTCTCCGCCGCGCGGCTCGCCGGAAACCACCGCGATGGAGGAAGACGAAGTCTCGTTTTCGGAACTATCGCTGGCAGAGAGTCGTGGTCGATTTCTTGTAATCGGTCTGGAAATAGTGAAGAAATAGCCGTCGGTTTTACGGCCGAGTGGAATCTTACCGAAAGGCTTGGCGATTGTGCGGCTTGGATAGGGCTTCTCATTGCGACTGAGGAGCCATGAATTCGAGGCGATTGATAGAGCGGCGGCCATGTGAGAACTGGTTCGGAATTGGAAGTTTCGAGTTCGAGATTGAAGATGGAGAATCCATGGCGTCACAGAGGAAAATAAAGAGAGCTCGGATTTGGAAGAGGATGAGGAATCGGACAGGTCTAGAACCTTGGAGAATAATGGGGAAGACTGTGATTCGGAAGAAATCGATCGGGACACGAGATTGAAATTTGTGCGGCTGATATGAAATTTAGAGGATTTTCAATGGCGAATTTCTTCGCGCGTTTTTCCCTGTTGATCCAAATTGATGTTGATTGACTCGGATTTCTTGTAGGAACTGATGAACAATTTAAGGACAAATTAAAAATATTTATATGTGGAAATTAAAATGTTTTCTTATGAGCAGAATAAACGGGTGAAAGAGTAGAATGTACTGGATTGGACCAAACTTCTCTCTCGAAGGGGAGGCTGGGATTTTTTAATTTTGTATAATTCATAGATATACCATTGAATCACGAACTTAATTCAGGAGGGAAGTTTTTTCCGACTGGATTTTAACAAAAATTTGAAATTATTCAGGGATTTTTTTTAATATTACAATTTTTTTAATTTATTCTAAAAATATTTCAGATATCAATTTTTTTAAATGCATCTGAAATTACTCGAACAATATTTCTGAAATACTTTTGAAATAAGTTTAATCTTTGAAATATTATAAATTTCAAAATTGGTCGAATTTTTTTTAAATCCAAATTTCAATATTTAGACGTTAGACTGTTTTATTCTCACCTGCTAAAATTTTGTACAACAAATTTTGTGGGTCATTTATGGTCGTGAAGTGTGACGATGGTTATAAGAAGTATATGGTATAGGCAATGCAAATTTCAATTTAATTTGCACCCATTCACAGAAGAAGTCGGATTTGTCTATGTAACACGACTTCTAAGAAATTTGAGCATGCACCTTCTAAAAAATAAAATAAATAAAATTGAGGATGCATAGAAAGATTGCTTCAATTCGCATGGCTCATGTCCTAGCACGCTATGCATTGGAGGAACAAATAAAACGGATTTGGATGTATCCTGTAACCGAGTGGCTTAATGCCCTCAAATTTTGTGGTTATTTAATTGATTTATTGTTATTCTTAAAAAACAACAATARTTTGAAGAAATAATCTCATATAAATGGGAAGAGAATAAGATAAATTATTGAACGAGAGAATAATAAGTATTTTGGAAAATGGTAAAATGTTTAATTTTATGCGTTAGTGAAACTATTTAGTAATTTAAATTATYTGTTTTCATATTCACTTAATCAAATAGATTTAATAAATATATCTGAAATAATTATTTTTTTTTACAACTATTTTCAGGTGGTGCGATCTAAAGTAAAAAYTCTGAAAACTTTGATGGTTTTTTCAAAATTTTAACTCGAAACTCTCCCATGCATGATCACGTTTAGAAGTACCATTATATATCATATCATRATTTTATTTTTAATAAAAAAATGTCAAATATAATATATTATAAATTATATAGTATTTTTACAATAATTATTCTATACAATTTATAACATATGTATTACTAAATGATTTAGTTGGTAGATATATTAGTTTACAAATATATTACCATGAGCATCTTTTAAAGCTATCRTACATATATTTRAAAGCACTAAAAATATATATTTTAATTGAATTTATTGTTTTCATGTGCATTAAAAATGCATAAGTTGTACCAAAAAATGAAAAAAAAAATTCAAAATTCAAAATGCATAAATGGAACGAGATATGCAAAACTTGTATATATAATCCAAGAAAAAAAAAGTAACCATATTTCCTCGTACTAGAAAACAAAAAAACATTTATGTCAAATTATMTGAGAAATGAGAAAATTTATGGTAAGCATCAACTAAAAAACCACATGGACGACGGGAATTGAACCCGCGCATGGTGGATTCACAATCCACTGCCTTGATCCACTTGGCTACATCCGCCCTCCTATCCTATACTATGATAAGTAGAAATAAAAAAAAAAACTTATGTAAACTTTATTCTATCATAAAGGAGCAATACCAATCCTCTTGAGCTAATAAAAATTATATAAATTTTTTTYAAAGAAAAATGATTAGCAGTAAAAATAAATAAATTAAAAAAATTATGAGTCTCGTTAATACATAATAGAAAAATGAAAAAGTTGCAAAGTATTTATCCTTGGTTCGTGTCTAAAGAATTTGAGTARGATTGATGAAATTACAAAATTCGAAATAAATGAATTTTTTTAGTACAATATATAATAGTAAGGATCAAATTTACAACTTCTTTACGTGACATATATATCAATCACGGTTAAGTTATCTGTCAAATAAAAGAAATAAAAAAAATTGATTATGATTCATTATGTTTCTTGTTAAATAAAACGTGACATAACTTCGTGGCCCACCAGAAGTCCCCCATTCCTAAAATAAGTAAAAAAGGTTTTCAATAGGGCGCCTACAGCTTCCCATTCCATAGCAGCCCAGCAACTGGGCAGCTCCAGCGAACTTGTCATTTTAGGAAACTCCACTCTCCACCCCATTCACCTTCCTCCGTCGCTCCATAATTTTCTAGCGGCAGCCTCAAGCTCTCATTTCTCCCGCACTTTCTCAAGATCTTGGTTTCGCGGCGCCTCATCGTTCCCCATTACTGCTTTCATCACTGGGTAATTTTGTTTTGCTTGTTAAATCCCTATTCGTCAACTAATTGTTCACTTCTATTTTTCTTGTTCGCATCATGGCGGAGCATTGCTCCTGGTCTCTTAATGGGTTTGTTGTATTGTCTGTCTATTGGACGATGGACTGACGTTAGGGCATGATTTTTACTTTTCCCCTCCGGGTTACCTGATTGCTGTTTCTATGGGTTGTTTCCTTTATGAACTGTTGGGTGTACATTAGGGGACATTTGTGAAATTGGTTGCGAAACCGTTTCATTCAGGTGCAAGAAAGTGGTTTTTGGTGATTTTAGAAGGGAAAGAACCAAGGGTGACTTGGTGGGTGTAACTGGTGAGTACTCAGGGGTGTCTTTTGGATGTTTGGAGGTACCTCCCATTCTATCCCAGCTAGAACCCTAGCCACTSAAATCCTGGTTCTCTCAAATTGTGCGCCTTGGGATGGGCGGAGCTCCGGGGATTAGTAGGGATTAGTAAGGAGAGCCATGAGCATAATGCAAAGAGTGAGTCCTTGATACTCTGTCTATACAAAAATTCATGGTAAGGAAACAGGTACTCGTGTTTTCTGCTTAATCAAGTAAGCTAAATTTGGTTTGCTGCATGTCTCGGGATTGGTGACAGAATAAGACTAGTGGTGTAGGTAAATAGAAGCTACCGTGACTAAATCTTCGTGTCGGACTAGATAATTCATTTTGACTAAGGCAGCAATTTATGAAATATATGTATATATTTTTTTTGGAGTATGAAACACTGTACTAAAAGAAAACATGTACACGTGGGGATTGCTGGAAATAAGATATCCTCCCTGCTTAAACTATCAGAAAGAGATTAATTCACGAGTTAGTGTTTCTCCTAGAGAGTTTATTGATCTTTTGAAGCTGCTGGATAATATTCAGTTGGGGAAGATTGTGACGAGAGGACTTAGGCTCTTCATCCTTCGGGCTTCTTTACTGTCAATTAACTGTTACAGCATAAAACTTTGGTCGGAAGATGCGTGGCTTCAGATTTTCTAAGGCAATTTGCTTGGGAGCTCTTGAAGCTTTGGATCATTTATTTTTTCATTGCCTTACAGTAAGGTGCTGTGGTGCTCTCTTCTACAAATCTTTGGTATGTCTTGGAACTTTCAATATGCATCGAAAGGCATTGTGTTTCATCAAGTGTCTGGTCATCTGTTCAAGAGGAAAGTAAAGAAGCTTTGAAATTGTATCATGAAATCAATTCTTTGGTGCGGGAAAGGAACAAGAACAACAAAATTTTTAATGGGCAAGCAAAGATTGGAGGAAAGTATTTGATTTGGCTAAATTTTAGTTTTAYCTGTGGATGTCTTTAGAATATGAGTTGAGAAATTATACTCCATCTGTAATTATAGTTGGGTTGGATTTCTTTGACGGCTACATTGGAAATATGTTTGGTAGATTTGTTTTTGGGATTTGCTACTTGGTGTGTGGTTATTAGGTTGTACTTTGTAAAGTATTACTTTCCAGGTTCCACTAATCAGTGAAGGTATAAGGATCTTGGTCCTATTTTTTTGGCAATGTTCTTCTGTATGGTACGGATATGGTGGAGATTTTTGTAGGTTTTTAGGTACCCTAGGTTCTGAAGAGACTTGTCATGCTACGTTGGAAGAAGTTATTCATCACTCCCATTTTTGTTAAAATGAAAAGTTTCTGTGATAGGCGAAGTTCTTGTCTGTCCTATGATACATTTTGGAGGGTTTTTACGGGATTAGAGGGATCTTGCGAGGATGTTTCGATTTTGATGGACTTTATACTTTGCTTTGGGTTTTTGCGTCCGACATTTTAAAAAAATGATCTTAGACTGTTTTTGATTCTTAATAGTTGGAACTTCTTATAATTTCTTTTTGGAGGTTCCCTTGTTTGCCCTGGCCTGTGTTATTGTTTGGCTTAGTTCTGTAATATTTTATTCCTCTTAATGAAATCAGTTTCTTATCCATGGAAAAATAATTGATTGTTGGTTTTGCAGTTCTTTTGGAGGCTTGCATCTTCGTCAGAGAATGGCCAATAATCCTCAATATTCAGGTTTACAGGTAAAATATCTACAAATCCTATGTTTGATTTGTTTTATTTCTCAACTTTTGCCCAACATTTTGCTTTTCGTAAAAAGTATATTAATTAGATATGTCGAATTCTCCTAGGCATTGATTTAAATTTTTTCAAAGATGTAAACATCAGTATTAAGCTGGTATATAAAAAAAATCAGGAACAAAATTTCAGTATTAACTTTTAGGAAACACTGGAAAATTGTCCGTGTGTGTAATTTTATTAATTTTTTTTTTTCTAAAATAGTGATACAGCCCTCTGAACTTTAATTTTTGGAACCTCGTTGTTTTTGTTTCCTTGTCTTAGAGCTCAATCTAGAAAGTATTGTTAACTATGATCTTTTTATTCCTCAAGCCAAATGAAGATTTTATTTTATAGCACCTTTGACTTTTTGTAAGCCATGCACCTTTGTGTATTTCCTTCTTCAATAAAATATTGTTTGCATAAAGAACAGACGTTTATTTGGTACAAGGATTTTAAAGTCAATCAAATATAGTTATCTTTTATTCATCAGTTCTGAAACTGGATAATTTGCATTTTGTTCCAAATTCTAATTCCTAATTGCACATTTTCTACCTGTGAAGCCTCTCCGGCCTCCTATTGTTAGTCCTATGGAGCAAGCTAGAGCCTTTGTTCCACCAATGTCTACTCAGGTAAAGCTACTTATGGTTAGGTGAACTTAGGTCTTTTATATCTTGGGTACATTATGACTACAAAATCTTAAGGAATTGATGTAACTCAAGTATTTCAGCAGTTTCGACCTGCAGTCCCAGCACCTCATTCGCAGCAGTTTGTTCCCTTGCCTTCTCAGCATTTTCAGCCTCTTGGCCAAGTTGTTCCAATGATGAATGTTGGCATGCCCCCTCCTCCTCAAGCTCAACAATCCCAATTTTCTCAGCCATTGGCTCACTTGCCTCCTCCTCCAAGACCTTGTGAGCCAGGTCATGGGACATTACCCCCACAATCAATTCCACTGCCAGTTGCTCAGCCAAATAGGCAATTTACACCTGAATTGCAACAAGCGCAGCCTCTCATTCAACCTGCTGCTATTGGCATGCCTGGTCCTGGTGGCTCTGGAACACCTTTATCTTCATCATACAGTGTAAATTTCGTTAATTATTGGTGAACTTTCAATTTATTCATTATACTGCACTGMTAAGATGTTGGTAACATTAGAATGGACATTTTGTTGTAATATAAAATTAAGTTATTTTGCATCCTAAAAGGTTTTCTCCAAGTTTTTGTGGACATTGATGTTTGTCAACAATTTTGTTGAATCCCATTAATGATATATCCATTGGTATCTGTTTTACATCCTTCAACTCATCTGGGATTTTTTCTGTGCAGTATGGACCACCTCAAAATTACAATACCACTATGATTCATCCTTTACCCCAATCACATGCACCAATTGTATCTTCTGGAGGACAGCTTACCTTACCAGAAGGAATGGGCAGTTCTGTTTCAGTCACACCTCTGAATCACACAAGAGAACAACCTTATGCTACCTCTTCTGTACCTTCAGTATGTATCATTTTTATTATCTTTAATCTCTTTTCCTGCTAATGTCTTAGACTAGTTTCATAAATTTACTTTGCATCTGCCTTTTTGTTAATTTTAGGCAGCCAATGTTCAGCCTATGCCTGCTGGAGCAGCCTCATCAGAATGGATAGAACATACATCTGCTGATGGTAGAAGGTATTCCCCAACACAAACACATTGTTATGTTTTATTTTTGTTACTCTTATATTACCTGAACTTCATGCCTAAGTCTTTGGTAACACCGTTAAGGCCCTTCATGCAAGTGCCAATAATTTTGATTTAGCATTTTTTGAATAGGAACTTAAGTTTTGTGATATTGTGATTGTGGATCATGAGAGAGAGGATGTGTTCTGTGTTTAATGGCGGGCTAGCCACTATGTGAAATTGTTGCATAAGATGGTTGATGGCAATCTGATTTTTTTATTATTTACTGATTGCATTTGTCATTGTTCTAATATCATACTTTTGTTTTTTTGATCTGTTTAGATACTATTACAACAAGAAGGCGAAAATATCTAGCTGGGAGAAGCCTTTTGAATTGATGACTCCAATAGAGGTGAGTTAAACAACATACATCGCTATCTTTTATTGTCCCATGTTCCTAGTAGATTTTGATTTTCTGAAGGTTCCCTTTTTCGTGCATTTGATAAGATTTATTCTAAAATATTAACGTCCTTTTTCCAGGCATGTTATTCTAATTGCAATAATGCTACTAGTTAATTGCAAGTTATTACCTTCTTCTTTTGCCCTTTTGCCCTCTTTCCTATCATGATTTGGAAATGATTGCTCTAMTTTTGATGCTCTATCTGGGTCYGGTAATAATTTGATTGGCACGTGCCTTGCAATATATCAAATGAAAATACTGAATAACTAGCATAATGTTGTTAATTTTTTTTTCCTAACTTCCAAGTTAAAATGGGTTAACTTCTTTTGAGCGAGCAATAGGAAACCTATCTTCTTCTAGAAAAACTCAGTTTGTTATTGAAAAAAAGAACTTTATGAAATCCTTCGTCTTCTTTTTCACTGTTACTGATTTGAATAAGGTTGTTAATTAGTTTAGGAGTGGTGTCTGGTCCTCTTTCATACGTTATTAAGGTAGTCCCTCTCTGTGAGAATTCTTGAGATATACTGGCATATATCATATGTTGTACGCCTTTCATTTTTTAAATATAACTTTTTTTGCTATTTTTTCGTGCTGCTCATATCTTACTGTAAATGAGTTGTGTAACTTCGGTAGCTTTAAAGATGCTTACAGGTACATGCYGTGCTACTCTGTTGAGAGGTAGGATAAGCTGTCAGTCTTTGCTGCTTGCTCTCCCTATCTGTCTTGAATGTTAGTAAATTTCTGTTATTTGTGTTACTTTTTTGACCTGTAGTATGATAGCCTCAATTAGCCTTCTGTTAATTTATTCTGCTGAATGCTTCTTCAACATTGTTATGGTGTTGTTATACCGTTGTTGATATTTGTGGTATATGCTTTTAGATAATTGTCATATCTGCACAAAGACATCTGAATTATTTGATGCTAAAAATCTCAGAGTCTTATTCTTACTTTTTCCCATTTTTGTTTCAGTTGCGAGTACATTTTTTCTTCCAAATCATTATTTGTTTGTTGGCCTTAGAATTCTACTCTTGGAGTCTAGTTATACTACCATGTGGATCAGATTAACTGCTGTGAAATGGAACATAAATGATACTTATAAGAATGGATTGTCTTTTGTTTCTAATTAGTAAGTTTTGCTCTTGATATAGTCACATAAAAGCTGGTTTTTCCTTCGTAAGGTTTCTGGCCTTTTGGCTTGTTCCGATTACTTTGATGTTTCTGATGGGCATTTGAGAAGAAACCTTGTGAATGTTAGTATCGAAATTGTACTTGGAGGGTAGAAGAAACCTTTTTGAGATAGAGGCTGAGAATTGGAAGACTAAGATAAAAGCTTGGGGTGGTTACTATTTGGCTCAAACAAAGATAGGTTGATTTGGACTCTAGACAAATTTGACTCATTCAATAGCAAGTTACCTTTTTTGAAGCTTACTTTTATAGTCCGAAGTTGAAGATTCCCCTTTGAACTGTGTTTTGGCAGGCAAAGTCCCAAAGAAGGTAAAATTCTTTCTTGATTCCTTGCCTATAGAGCCTAAATACTCAAGACAGACTCCAAAAGAATAGGTGAACTCTAGACGGAGAAACTTTCGATCATCTCCTCCTCCCTTGCCTTTTTGCATCCACAGGGTGGTCTTTCTTACCGAATATTTTTGGATAAAAGTATTGAAGATTGGTTGCCTGAAGTCCTTTCTGAATGTTGGTTGAAAGGCAAAGCTAAAATCCTTGGAGTTGTTCAGCTAGAGCTTTATTGGGGCTTATTCGGATGAAAAGTAACCAAATAACTTCTTGAGTTAGAAAGACTTTTATAGATATTTGTGATCACATATAGTTTATGACCTCATGGTGGAGTGTGTCTTACACAAGAAATTCTTTTGTAATCACAATATTTTTTTGATTAACCTTGATTGGAAGTCTTTATTCTTTTGACAAGAGACTGGAAGGATTTATTATAATAGCTTTTTTAGTTGGGGTTTCCCTTACCCCAATCCTAGCTTGTAGCCTTTTTTGTTCCTTTACCCAACTTTATAATATTCTCTTATAAAAAAAAAGAAAAAGAAAAAGAAAAAAAAAATTAAATGATAAAATTTAGTTTTAAGTTTTTGAGTCTCATGGCGATATTACTAGGGTAGTAATCGTCTACATGTAGGGTCTTGTGAATCAAAGATAATATCCAAGCCCACACATTAGTGAAGTGTTAAAAGAATATATTAAATGATTTGCCTTATTCAGCAACTTAAGTTATTAAGTCTAGTGGTTTAACAAATTTTGATCCTCATTCAATATAAAGCTAAAAAAAATTGGTTATATCAAGCTTGTGGTTTCACCAATCTATACCTTGAACTCTTTCCAGTTTTTGACGCTTGTAAATATTGAAGAAAAAATAAGAATTTTGTATGTGAAGGGGTTTGCAATATGGTTCAAATGTCAACCGTTATCAATATGACTTGGCTGAGTCATACGCATCTCAATTTGCGACTAATACAATATTGGGACATAGGGTTGTGGACAGAGTTTTGAAGGAAAAGATAAAGTTCTCTTGTGAAATATGGCTTTTATTTCGAGGGATCTGAGTAGAGAGAGATTAAAGAAACTTTGTAGTGACTTAGTGGATGTTTGAGAGCTGGTTATGTTTTTCCCTCTAATTGCCAATGACTCTCTTTTGCTGATTCCTTTCAATTTTTTAAGGTAGACATTTTTTGAGTACTTCTTCCCTTTTAACTATTTTTAAGTGGGGAATATCTTGACCTATACTCTCTCACACAAAAGTGGATACACACAAAACAATGGTCACTGTTTCTTAGAAAATACATTTTACTATAGTTTTGACTTGTAAAGTTCTCATTTTTGTGACAGAGGGCAGATGCATCAACCAACTGGAAGGAGTTCACAAGTCCTGAAGGAAGGAAGTAAGCAATCTTTTGCAGGAAGTCTAGTTAATTGCAAGCGTTGTGGTTTTTGAATGCATTTTCGACTCATTAACTTTATTTGATTTGTGAATGTGGTACAGATATTATTACAACAAGGTCTCCAAGGAATCTAAGTGGATAATTCCTGTGGAACTGAAGGTTTATTTGATATCTTACTTGACTCGTATTTGTACCTTTTCAACTTCTTTCTTGGGTTTTATATTTGTTTTCCATGTCATTTAAGTTTGGTGCATTGACTATGTGAAGTTGGCTCGAGAGAGAGTAGAGAAGCCATCCACTCTTGGAACAGAGAAGGAACCTATTCCTCYGGAACTCCCATCTGCTTCTTTCCTGGAAGCGTCATCTATTGCCGATACAACATCTACTGCCAAAGGACTAACATCTAGTACATTGTCAGTAGCAGCTGTTGATGTACAATCTGAGAAGGATGCCTCATCCGTTGTTATTTCAAGTACAGAAACAAATGGTGGGGTTCAATCACCCGTCAATATAGTTCCTACTGGTTGTGCTATTTCAGAGAATGAAGGTACTGCTGTTGTGGAGGATACTGCGGTAGAACCCAGGTATGGGCAGTTATCTAACTGAGCGCTCTGTTTTATTGGTATGTAATTTGGTTTGTGTCCCTCGGAAATAAAATTGTAGGGAACATGTATTTCTTTGAAGTAGGGTGCACAAAAATTGAATGGGAGCATGGAATTGAAGGCCCAACTCCAAAAGTTATCCTAAACCCTAAATTAAAAGAAAGCACCAGAATTCTTAAGGGAAAAAAAGAAAAGAAAAAGAAAAAGAAAAGAAGCAATAAAATATGCAATCTTAACTTGATTGGAACTTTCTATTGAATGCTTGACGTTCTACGCAACTTAAAATTTTGTGTAAAAATTATGCAGGAATAATTTGAACCAGTCTTCTGCTCAGGATACTGATAGTTTGACAGATGGTGTTCCTGCACAAGAACTTGAGGTAGCACTTGATTCTTTTTATTATGGTTAGATTTATTCTTCTGTTTTCCCCTTATTCATCTGTGTTCTTTATCATTATTAAGGAAACTAAGAAAGATATATTGGAGGAGAAAGCTGAATTTACATTGGAAGAGAGGGCTATTGATCAGGATACTTCGGCTTATCCAAATAAGCAGGTAAGGATTCTTCTAACCCCCRTTGTCCTTTTTCTCCACTTTCGGGCTAAACCTTATATTTTTCTGACATTTTTTTTTTGTTTTTGTTTGTTTTGTTGTTGTTATTGTAGGAAGCTAAAAATGCATTTAAAGCCCTCTTGGAGTCTGCTAATGTTGGTTCTGACTGGACTTGGGATCGGGTAATTGAACTATATATATCCAAGTTTATGCTTGTATTTTAGCCACTGTCCTTAACTTGTATTTTGACATATCAGGCCATGAGAATTATAATTAATGACAAGAGGTATGGTGCTCTAAAAACACTTGGAGAACGGAAGCAGGTGTTCAACGAGGTATTGGTTGCTTGATCTAGTCCCTTTTTATTACTAGGTCTTGTCTGCTTAATCTCTCAATCTTATAATCCCATGAAATGTCTGAAAGATGCTCCCGTGGTGCTGGTAGTGATTTTTTAAAGTAATCTGTACTTTGTTGTATGTTGAAGTTCCTTGGTCAAAGGAAAAAACAGGAAGTGGAGGAGAGGCGGATTAAACAGAAAAAATCACGGGAAGAATTCAGAAAGATGTTGGAAGTATGTTTTTTCTCTMAAAAATTGCTTGACATCTATTCACGTCCTATTTTCTTATCTTTTACCTATATCTGATTCTGTGCAGGAGTCAACTGAGCTTTCCTCATCCATGAGATGGAGGTTGGTCTTCTACAATACAATTTATGTTCCTTTTCCATTTTCTCGTTAGTAATTGCTGGTTGTTTATTCTTTGGGATTTGTGTTTGCTTATGAAAACTTCAATTAGCAGCAAAGCTGAGTCAATATTTGAAGACGATGAACGCTTCCAAGCAGTTGAAAGAGATAGGGACCGGCGTGATCTTTTCGAGAGCTTCTTGGAGGAACTAAAAAATAAGGTACGCATGGCCTCCACTTTCTACCTTTCTATTTCTACCCCCTTTTGCTTTGATGGATAAGTCCATTAATTTTTTCTCTTCTTTCTTATCACTTTCAGTTTTCTTTTAATCAGTTAAATAACTTGATGAAAACATAGAAATGGATTAAATATGTCAATTTGCTAATGCATGTAACTCTAGTAAAGATCCTGAGCGAAGTTAATTCCAAGATGGTGATTGGATTGATAAACTAACTTGCTAATGCTTGAAATACGTTTGGCACTTAATCCAACGTCACTACTTCTTGTATTTGGCATTCACCACTCCTAGCTAGAAACCTAAAATGATGTGACGCTAATTAGGTTGTTATTTCAGCACAGTTACAGTATGTGACTGGTAAGAAAATTCAACTGTTTGCACCGCTTTTTAAAGGCTAGACAAGCTACCTTTAGCTAGGAGCCTCTTTCCTTCTGCCTAGCTGAGTAAGATATCCTTTTGTTAGAAAAACTATTGTGTTAAATCTTCTAACGGCGTGCTATAAGTTAAAATGGAGTAACGTAGCTCAACTCAAAGTCTCAAACATCTTTTGGGGATTAATCTCCTATAAACTTTTAGTAAAGTGGGTAAGAATGTACAAGTCATACAAAGTGTGTAATTGCAAACTTCCATCCCTTATTCTCTTCCCCTTTTCTCTACATGATTTTTGTGCTTCCAATAGATCTTATTTCTTGGTTGAGTTGACAAAAGTAAGCTGTGTTGAGGACATCAACAAGTTTTATTTTTCATTAATATGATGGTTGTTGTTGGTTAGGAGCGTGCAAAAGCACAGGAGGAGCGTAATCGAAATATTCTGGAATACAGAAAATTTTTGGAATCTTGTGACTTTATTAAGGTACTCTTTTAGCTTTGTTGCAATGCCTAAAAAATTTATAAGTTATTGTTCTACTTTGCTGTATAAGCTCAATTGAAGTGTTATGCAATGGTTTTACTTCCAAGGCTAGTAGCCAGTGGCGAAAAGTACAAGACCGCTTGGAGGTTGATGAAAGATGTTCACGCCTTGAAAAAATTGATCGCTTGGAAATTTTCCAGGTAACCTTATACATTCTAATAACGATACTATTGTTTCTAACGACCGACAATATCAATAATTGCAATAGAATGACCTAAGAGTCTAAGAGGACAATTAGTTAGTCCAAATGCCTTTAGGGAATGTCTGTTTCATAGAAATACCATCACATTCCTACATTAAATCTTATTAAGCTCTCCTCTCTCTCACTACATCTCTCCAACTCCATACACATATTTTCTCTTATTATCTTATCTCTACACACTTTTTTCTCGTTAAAGGGAGAGAGTACGGGGAATACTTGTTTGGTGTATAAATATGGTTGGAAAATGTTGCTTTTGAACTAAAAGATGATGGGATTTGTTTTATTCCAGTTGGGCGTTACCTCTTTTTTTTTTTTTTGGGTCAGAATGCATCTTTTCTGGCGAGGTTTGTGGTTGGAAACTGGGTAAAGGGATCTTGTTTTTCATTCAGGTTTCTACTTCTTCGATAGATGTTGTTGTCAAGGAAGAAGATCATATATAATCTTGTTTAGACTTTGTATAGGGAGCTAGATGAAAAGTGAAAGACATGGTTCTATTTTTGGTAATTTTTTAAAATTAAGATAGGGATCATGAATGTCTWAGTGGGCTTGTACTTGCAAAGGCTTTGATCTCTTTGCTTCTCCACCATCGCTGTTGGAGTTTGTGGTGGAAGTGGTGAATGGATCTTTAGAGCTCAAAGTTATGTACATTGGTGGGCCATTYCATAATAGATGTAGGGGGAAACCTTGTTTTGGAGGCTGCCATTGGTGTAGAGTGGAGGGTTTAAATTTGGGTTTKWTTTTTTTTTTTTTTTTGGAGGGAATAATTAATGTTAATTGGCCAGAATGGATCAAAAAGCCTCATCCTATTGTGGGCTTATTTGATTGTCCAAAATAAGGAAAATCCTCATGGACATGGATGGAGGTAGATGACTCAGTATGGTGGGCCATTGTGCGAGAGGGGAATAATCCCAAGGGAGAGGCAAAAGCATCCACTACAGTCCCACACCTCGTTTTAATTAAAAAAAACATTTCGAAAGAGTACAGTACCTGTTGCGTGAGCCGAACTCTTACGAATGTATATTACAGGAATACCTACGTGATTTAGAGAAGGAAGAGGAGGAACAGAGAAAAATACAGAAGGTACTTTTGTTTGCTTTTCTTGTTTAGTATTGTACTTTTCCTTCTTCAAATAGTGTTCTTTTCTGAAATTTTGTGCACAATAGGAAGAACTGAGAAAAGCTGAACGCAAGAACCGTGATGAGTTCCGCAAGATGATGGAAGAACACATTGCTGTAGGGATTCTTACACCTAAAATTCATTGGCGTGACTACTGCATGAAGGTTGACACTTGGCATCTCCTTTATTCTATTTTTTAAATTATGATTTAAACTATTTCGCAAGCATTCAATTAGTGGGTCAGACATGGTATTCATTATTCTTTAATGGTTTTTCATAAGGCAATATCTTTTGTTTTTAGGTTGTGTTTCTTGTTCTGTGATATCTTGATTCTGTAAGCTGAAGACATGCAACTTACATGCCAACCTATTTGTCTCCTTAGGTTAAAGAGTTACCTGCATATTTGGCGGTTGCTGCAAATACATCTGGTTCAACTCCAAAAGATTTGTTTGAAGATGTTGCTGAGGAGCTACAAAAACAAGTTAATCAACTACATCTCTTGATCTCTTCCTGGCAGACATTTTTTGTTTTTAAAAATGCTGTRATTTTGTGATGCTTTCTTGATTTGGTAAAGGTGCTTGTGATAGAGCTAGATAGTAAGAGGTAATATAGTAATTAGTCGGGTAGTTCGGTAAAAGACTATTTGTTATAAATTGGGGGATGGAACATTAGGGGAGGTAGGCAATATTGTGGGTGTTTACTGGTCAGTCTTGAACGTGTCCAGGAGGGGATAGTCTAACTACCTTGAATTGCTTAGGAGATTTGTACTTTATCTTTTATCTTTCAATACATCTGCCTGCACTAATTTCTATTCTTAGTTATATTATCTGCGATCCCATTCCCATTCCCATATACGTTTCCATGTTACCATACTCTCCTGATATAACTTGCTTGCTTATTGTTAAGTAGCATGCCTTTGTTCTCACTGTTCTTCTCTACTCTCGTACGCTCGYATTGCTGAAATTCTGTGATATTAAGTGCTGGTATATTAAGGCTGATTCAATATTTCTGTTTGGGGTGGGTATTTTTGCAGTATCGTGATGACAAAACTAGAATAAAAGATGCTGTGAAGTTGAGAAAGGTATTGTCCTATAGCAGAAACGATGMTTTTCCTGTTCTGTCGCTAGTAGTTTGTGCGTCTAATCTTTTGGGATTGTCAGATTGCAATTTCATTGACATGGACACTTGACGACTTTAAAGCTGCTATTTCGAAAGATATCAGCAATTCTCCAATATCAGATGCCAACTTAAAGGTACTTTCCCGGGCTTACTTTTCTTTATTCTTGATGGAGTCTAGCACCCTTAGGGATCAAGCCATTTTAAGAATGTGGTCTGAGTTATCAGTTGCTTTAAACTTTTACCTGGAAATCTGTGATGTACATTATTGCAATTCATATGATATCACTTTGGAGTCAGAATCTTGAGTGCTTTTCTTGAAGTTTGTTTGGTTGAATAAGTGATTGCTTCAAGTGCGTTCAATATGCTTTAGTTCAATCTTCTTTAATCTTGAACTAGAAAATAGTTTTGGAAGGTAAATGATTGGGTTCATTGATATTATTAACCACATGCTGGAAAAGAGGTCCTAGGCGGAAATCAGCCAGCCYGTCAAAACCAAAATATCCTCCATATTTCCACATTTTTATGTATTGGAATTCATATCGTATCTATATAAAGTAATAGAGCTTATATAAGCTTGTTTTTAATCTTTCACGGGATAAATTATTTGTATTAATTAACCTTGTTCTATCATTGACAAAAATTGCTGACTRGAAGTACTTTCTTAATTTTTCACGTGTTCTTTCTTATATACTCCCTTGTTAATCATGATCTATGCTGTGCAGCTAGTTTTTGATGATTTGATGGAACGGGCTAGGGAGAAGGAGGAGAAGGAAGCTAAGAAGCGTAAACGTCTTGGAGATGAATTTTTTAATCTTTTATGTTCGCTTAAGGTTTGTTACATCATTTGCTCAGTGTGAGTTGATATGTAATATTAACCGAGTAAATGAGTGGATCTTTTTGCATGATCTCTCTCCCCACCCCCAGAAAAAAAAAAAGATGGATGAAAATCTCAAACCCATATTCACTTTTTGCATTGTTGTAGGAAATATCTATACATTCAACTTGGGAAGACTGCAAACCCCTTTTTGACGGGAGCCAAGAATACAGGTATTCATTGTTTTCAATATGGTTTATTGCACATCTTATAAACCATCATGGGTGGTTCATTGGTCCAAATGGGCTAAGGTAATCAAGAGGGAATGGATTCAAACCCCATGATGGCCACCTACCTTACGAATTAGTAATTCCTATGTGTTTTCCGGCACCAAATGTTGTAGGATCAGACGGTTGTCCCGTGAGATTAGTTGAGGTGCACTTGAGGTGCACGTATGYTAGTCCAAACACTTATGGATATAAAAAGAAAATTTATTGCACATCTTATGCTTTGTTTTAAAGCTTAAACCTCTCGAGTAGAAACAAAAATCTGGTTCTTGTGGGTATTTGATGAAGCCAGACAAGACAGCACACTATTTTAGTTAAAAATAGGAATTATTTAAAAAAAATAATGAAGTACTTATTTTTACCCGGTATATGTTGGATAGTACCTTTTGCCCTCACAGATTGTTTCTTACTTCAGTGTGTTCGAATTTAATTTTGTAGTTCCATCGAGGACGAGAGTCTCTGTAAGGAAATATTTGAGGAGTACATAGCACAACTGAAAGAACATGCGAAAGAAAATGACAATAAGCGGAAGGAAGAAAAGGTATTCAGCTACTTTCTATTAATACATTTGAATTTTTGCACAATGCCATTGAGTTTAATATGTCGTCTATTAGGCATTAAAAATGTAAGCAGCAGAAACATGATCGTTTTTCCATAATATAAGCACATCTTTCCTTTTGGTTTCATATGCGAACTAAAATTTGTCTCTGATAATCACCTTCACATATCAATTGTGTGAAGTTCCACGTATGACTTCACTTCTTGCAGGAAGATTTCAATCTAGAATGAATTTCAAGTACTTCCATACAAATACTTGTCGTGAATCTTTAGATTTATTCACATTGAAGATCCTTTTACTGACATGAAAGAAAGTGGGAAAGATTAGAGTTAATTGTTTGGTTAGTTTGTCAGTATTGGTGGTCGTGCTTGTTTAAATTTTTTCCTGATGAGCTTGAAATCGTCCATAAAAACTAAAGTTTCTGCAAACCTATATGGATTATCATTTAATTCAACCTTTGTTATGTTCTTTTCTCCAAATTGATAGGCAAGAAAGGAAAAAGATAGAGAAGAAAGAGAGAGAAGGAAGGAGAAACACAGAAAAGGTGAAAGGGAAAAGGAGGAGCACTTCAAGAAGGATGGAGTAGACACTGAAAATGCTGATGCTTCTGATATCCATGAATCAAAAGAGAACAAGAGAGAGAAAGAACGTAGTAAGAAACAGAGGAAGAGACGGTACAGTGATGAGGAGTATTCGGATGACGATGAAGCTGATCACGATCGGTCTAAGAAATCCCAATCGCATAAAGACCGAAAGAAATCTAGGCGGGTATGTTGTCTTTTTTTTTCCCCATCCAAAATGATTGATTCCCCTCCCCCCTACATTAYACTAATTTCTCTCCAAATACCAATGGCATTTAATTCAATGCTCCCCTCCTGTCTTGTCGTGGCCTTGCGTTCGATTTTATAGCACGCATCTGCTCAGGAGTCAGATGGTGAAAGCAGACATAGACGACACAAGAGAGATCATCGAAATGGTTCGTACAAGAATTTTGATCATGAGGAGCTTGAAGATGGAGAGTGTGGCGACGACGGGGCAAGTAGGTAGTTTTTTTCTCCTATACTGACTGTTTAGYGGGATTCTTGTTAACCTAAAATTAAAATATTTGATGATGTTCAAATCATTTATTCGCTTTGTGCATATACAGATTAATTTATTGTTAATAAGCTGTCTCTGTTGGTCATAGACTTTTATTCCTGAGTTCTCTTTTTAAAGATAGTAGACACTTTGTATTGAACTCAAAAGTTGGGACTAGAACAGGATGTTAGAATTACGATGAACAAAAGAGGACAATTGCTTCCCTCCTTCCTTCTCGGCTCTATCCGCGGGATGTCCCCCCAGAATTTGCATTGTTCAGTACCACTACCCTCTCAACCTTGGATTTATTTTCTTCCTCCATGTAACTTGTAGGTTCTACAAACTCCTTAGAATCTCACTTGTCCAGTAAAAAAGCTGGAGGTGGAAGTCAAACAAAAAATTTTCATGACAGAAGAAAAAATAAGGCAAATTAGTGGCTGTGCATTTTAAGTTAGGTAGGAGCAGTTGAATTAAGTTTGATATTTTAGAAATATCAGCCACAAAATCTTGTGTGGTATATACAGTGTAGAAATCCAACTGTATTTGCAACTATGAGAAATGAAAAGAGGAGCCCGTGAAGAGTAAGGAAAGGGCTGAGTTTTGCATATTGATAAGAGGCAAATATCAGAAGAGAGTTGACCACATATTCTCCTTTCACCTTCTCTCTAATTTCTCTCTCTCTYYTCTTTTTTGCCCCACAATTTTTTATTAGCCATAGAAAAACTAAAAGTAATGGTCCATAGCTTTCTTTCTCTCATACATATTTATCATGAAAACATAAACTAATTGAAATCTTTTTCCTTTCAGTTGCTATTGGATAGGTATATATTTTTAAAATTTTATTTTTGCATTACAAATGTGMTAATGAGGTGGCAAGAGTTTATTGAAATTCTAGCAGGAGAATTTTATTCAATGGAGAGATAAAATGAGTGGCTCTTTATATTGTGCAACTCATCATAGTTATGCTGAAAAAGTACTTGAAGAATTAGTCTCTAATCTTTTTTGTTTTGTTTTCCTATGAAAATGTATTTATAGCTAGGAGCCTAGGACCAGATATAAAATCAGGTTATTGTTGAAGGRATTCGAACCTTTGATCTTTTGATTGAGGATATATTATTTTAATCGGTTGAACTATTCTCAAGCGGATAAATTTATTTAGTTATATGATCAACTCAACATTATTTAGCTTGGAACGTAAAATCAACTAGATTTGGGAAGTTTGATGGGTTGAAATTTCATTAAAGGTATAACTTTTTCCAAAAGTAAATGAGATTTATTTATATATTTTTAGAAATTGGTGGCTATGGTCTAAAAGCTGACCTTTTCCACTATATCTCCAAGAAGAAAGGTAATTATTAGGGAAACCCAAATGATATTTGGAGGACCTASCCACACAAGTATCATTGAATCCCCACTATGTTTTGCAATTTTTTGAATGCCTAGCAATAGCATGCCTATTTGTCATCATTTTCATTGTTTCCTTTGGTGCATCTTGTTATAATAGATTCCCTCCCCACCCAAAAATAATATTAAATAAAATAAACAATAATAATATTAAAGCAAAATTTATACCAAAGAGATCGAAAGCGGAGTAAATTTGGTGGAATTAAAACCAAACCTAATTAAGTTGATGGGTTAACATAAATTTAATCTTTTAAATATAGTAGTTGACTTTGATACTAGATTGTGTAGGCTTGTTTATCAAGGGTTTGAAACCCTCTCTTTTCGTACTAATTCAACATGTGAATAACATTACAGGGATTTGAACTTAAAGGATATTTAGCTCTAATATCAGATTGTTGGTTGGACTCGCTCAAAAGGTCAGATTGATGGRTTGTTACAAATTCTTTTCAATATACTCTTGACATGTCATTTGGTGAGTTGTGATATTGGCACGAGTCCCAACAAAACTTGCCAACAAAATTGAGAAAATAGCGTCACAAGGAATAAAATTCAAGATCTYGWCTTAATACCATGTTAAATTCAGGGTATTAAATTTTTATCGAAGCAACATTCCATAAAATTGAGACTTCATCGATGATATTTAAAACTTAGGTTAAATCATTACTGGGCTCCTTTGATATTTTATAACAAATTTAATCTTGTAAATATATTTTTAACCRTTGATAGTATATAGTTCTGTGGTTAATGAAAAAAAAAGGTAGTAATAAAACAAAATTGTGTGAGAGAGCCCTAATTATGTAAAATCCACCTTAAAGAACCAAGCGTGGCCATGCTTGGTCACGAGAACAGCGGTTGACAAACGCGTCATATATTGTGGCTTTTAAACCTGTCCTAATTATTTGTTTCGACAACTTTATATTAAACTTTAATTGTAACAAATGATTAATTAAATACTACATTAATTAACAAAATCCATGCTGTTTCCTTTTGCCTTGAAGTTCCAAATTTACCCTTTCATTATTGTCTATAAATTCATTTCCACAGTCCCTCCTCTCTAACAGAAAACAGCATCAATGGCTTCCAAACTTCTGACCACCTTCTTCACATTTCTCTCCCTTTTCTTCTTCTTCTTCTTCTCCTCCTTGGCGATCACTGTTGCCGCCCGGCCCGTGCCCGACTTTCCGAACGCTTTTCCAGCCACGACTCGACATGGGGTATGTAAATTCATCAGAAATTTCGCAGCTTGATTTGGAAAACAAAAAAATAAGTAGTAAATTTTGTGCCTTTTTTGTTGTTGTGGTGAAGTTGAAGGTTGTGGATGATGTTTTGGAGGAGGAGAGCTGTGGAGGGATTGGAGAAGAATATTGCTTGATGAGAAAAACTCTTGCAGCCCATCTTGATTATATCTACACAGATAACCAGGAGCCATGATGATTACTATTATTTTCATTCTGAGAATATAATTGAGGGAAAAATGAAAATGTGACCAGAGGGAGAGATTCTTCATTTTGGAGAATTTGGATATAGTCGGAGGTCGAAGAAATCAGAAGTTTTTTTAGTAGCAAGAGTGGAGATTCAAACTTACGATCTCTTAATCGGAGATAGGTGCCTTACCCAGTTGAGCTATGCTCAATATTTTAACCATAAATATACTTTATCTTATTATCCTTTCATTTTACTAAGGATAAAACTTGAAATTGTTAAAAATATTCATATGGGTGAGTAAAATGTATATGCATAGCATTTGGAAAATGGGCATGGGTGAGGGGTTGCACTCTTCATTCATTTGTTTACCTCTTTTTAGTGCAATAAATAAATTGGTAGTTTGGAAGTTGTCTTTAAAACCTATTTTCTATTTTACAAAAAGTTGTTTCCTTTTGTTATCTCTTTGTTTGATTTTGTGGGTTAGCTAAGACTTGAATGTTTAAATACTATATATATTCATGTACTCAGTTTATTATTTCTTTTATTTGTAATTTTAACATTATACTTCATTCACTAAAATTTTTGAGATATAGCTATGTATTAGGGTTTTAATTGCATCTAAATTTGTATTAACATTTTGTAAATAAGAAGAAAAAATTGGTCACTTTATAAAATTTATGTTAAAATTTTGTAAATAAAAAGAAAAATTTGGCTGCACGTGTTTTGTTCATATTCCTGCGCAGTTAAGAGAAAAATTGTCCCCAAGGCCACCGCTTGTTTCTTTCTTGGATATGCTCAGTCCGGGTATAGATGCTATGACGTGAAATCCAAGAGATGAAGATTATCCTTGAATGTTCTCTTTAATGAGGTCGCCTCATATTTTCTTTAACCTAATTAATCAGCCCCGGGGGAGAATGGTGATGGAGATGTATTGCGGCCTTCTCCTGTTCATCAACTCGAACCTCATTCTTCTGCAGTTGATGTTACGGATCAGCCCCACTCTTCAGGCCAGCAGAGTGGAGAGACTAAAATACACATTTGGAGCATATAAATACTAAAATGAACGGGAGTATAATAATCAAAATGAATATTTTGAAAGGATATAGAATAAACTAAAATAATATTTAAACCACAAAAATAAAACAAATTGTATAGCATATTATTGTTAGCAAAAGTATATTAAGGATGCCTCAAAACCTCTCAATTCACTCGCGACTTTTTAGTAATAGCTAAGTGTCTTGACCCGAAATTGAACTATCCTCGAGTTAACCTTTTAATTAGTTTCTTAAATCATAATTTTTATAATTTTGGCAAAAATATCATTATTTTTTAAATGTTACATGTGAGAACTTGGAATTACTATTTCTGGGAGAAAGTAGGCATGCCCTTTAAAATAACCACTTAACTGTATTTAAGTTGGCCCAAAATATTATTTTCACTGATTGTGAGTCAATTTTAACATTTAATTTTCAATCAAATTGAATTGTAAAACTTGAACAAATTGCAAAATAATATTTCCTCCTTTTCAAATATAATACTTAAAATAAAATTAGAAAGTTACCTACACCAAGTTCAATCGACAATATCAAAAC